AGCCATATACTGTTGATCCCCATATTTTATTTCTAGCGCTGATCTCTTCCTTAGATACCAGATTCACATATCCTAACACCTATTTGGTGTCTCTATTTGCATGTCTACTAAACACTTTTAATTTAAATGCCCAATCTAGAAATCATGACTTTCTCCTCTAACCCTGTTCCTTCCCCTAGTTTCTTTCCCCTAGTTCCCTGGATCCAGTGTGTTACTCTCTGTCCACTGCTGCCAAGCCAGCTTCCTCCTGTCTTGCCTGGACTACTGAAATAGCCTGGGAACTGTTCTCCGCACTTCTTCTTCAGCCCCTCTATAATTTTCTATTTATTTGGCAATCAAAGGGTCTTTTTAAAAGATATTTTTAAAACAAAATTCAAATTCCTTCCCATGGCTTATAGTCTCTCCATATCTGATCTTCCTCTGACTGCTTCTCTGGCCCCCTTTCGTTCCATTCTTTCTCTTCCCTTCTAGGCTCCAGGCCCCTCCACCCCCTATTTGGTTCTCAAATTTACCACACTTGTTTCTGCCTTGCAGATTTTCACTAGTGGTTCCCTCTGCCTGAAGCCTGCTTTCTCCAGGTCTTTGGATCTTTTTTTGTTAATTTAGGTCCCAATTTAAATGTCCCCTCCTCAGTGTTCCCTCCCCATTTTCCTGGCCACTCGACCTAAAGTCATTCCCCACACTGCCATCACTTCCTATCATATTTCTGGCTTTTCTTTTCATCATAGAATGTATCACTATTTGATAATTTCTTATACAGTCATTTGTTTCCAGTCATTAATTGTTCCTTCCTTTTTCTGAGGTACAATGCACACAAAATAAAACCATTTAAAAATGAACACTTTGGTGGCATTTAGTACATTCGCAATGTTATGCAATCACCATCTCGCTTTAGTTACAGAATATTTTCACCATCCTGAAAGGAAGCTGGACCCATTAAGCCACTGACCCTCGTTCCCTGCTCCCCACACTACCCGTGGGAACCACCAGTCTACATCCTGTCTCTATGACTTGCCTGTTCTGAGTGCCTCTCACAGATGGAATACTACAATATATGACCTCTTGTGGCTAATTGCTTTCACTTAGCATAATGTGTTAGAGGTTCATCCACCACAATATAGCATATACTTCACTCCTTTTTATGGCTGAATAATATTCCGCTGTGTGTATGTACACTCTTTGCTTATTCATTCATCCATTGCTGGGGTTCCTCTCTTTTTCTCACCAGACTCTAGACTTGCCTGTCTCATCAAAGATGTGTTTAAAACAGAACCTGCCATATCCTGTGTGCTTATAATACATGTTGATTTTATGAATGAATGATGACACTTCAGGGACAGGTATAGGAGAGAGAAGCTTGGAAGCAGACTGGGAAAAAAGTAAACAGGCAGCAGGAAAAATCAGTGGAGAATAGTGTCATAGAAGTCAGAGAACATTAGTTTCAAGAAAAAATGATTAAGGAAGATGAGTTCATAAAAGCATATTTCACGAACCATGAGAAGGTCGCTGGAATTCTTGGTAGGGACAGTACTGATGTAGAAGTTTAAATGTGGAAGTGGACAGAAACCTCTGGACTCAGAACAGTGGCCTGGGCTATGTCTTTCAGGGAACTCTGGAGCCCCGTCACAGAGTAAAGTCCCCATGCCCAGACCTAAAACAGTAGAGAATTTTCTTTCCTGGTGATTGTGGGCTTATGAACGTCCTCAAAGGAGTAATGTGGAATTTCAGAGAGAGAAGGAAGCCCAGTGTTTATTAAGTTAATACAGCAGATATTCTTATATGCTTCCTACGTGCCTGCCAATACCACACACTATTTTAGGTGCTGGGGTTACAACAGTAAAACAAACAGAAAAAACATCTCTGCTTTCATGGAGCTCAAATTCTAAGGGAGGGAGGAGAACAAACAGGCAGACATAAAATGTCTTATTGTGAAGTGCTATGAAAAAAACAAAACACAGGACAAGGGGTTGAAGAGGGAGGGGCCGCCATAGGTCGGTTGCTCAGACATGTCAGATGAGGTGATATTTGAGCAGAGACTAATGATCCTAAAATGCTAAAATCATCTGATATTAGAGCCATGGGGCACTTAGCAATTCATCATGTTTTGTTTTCCTTTTGCCTCACTGGAATGTGTGTGATACAGAATTTGCTAAGTCCCCTTAGCGGTTCCTACAGCTAAAATGAGCAAGTTTATTTCATTTACTTTGTTGGTATAGGATTTTATTCTGTTCAGATAATTTTGGCATTTTACGTTGAGATGAACATGCAAGAGTGTTTCAAGGCTTTAGAGATCTCTAACACTTCGAAAGTTAATGGTTTGAAGTCATCTCCTTCCAAAATAGCTTGACTCTTACTTCCAGTTTCTACCAAAAGAAGGTGATAGATTCTAGAAAAGCAGTAAAGTACTCATGGGATACCCATCCAGTTTAGACATTTTCTGTTGTCATTGTTTATAATTTGTATCCAATATTAGCATATCATGGGGAGACGCTGAAAAAACATAATATACTTTGAATACAAGTGAACGTAACGGCTAAGAGTACTACTTACTTTCTGAGGGAAAAAGCTACTTAAAAAACCCTGTGATTATTATGTTCAATAAATTAAATCATAGGGTAGAAAATTTCAGCACAGAACTAGAAACTATAAAAGGATCAAGTGAAAATTCAAGAACCAAAAAATATAAAGCTGAAAGTAACCTACATGAGGCCACTTTCTCAAGACAGGGAGAGCTGGCTCTTTTATCTGATGCATAGAAAGCAACAGAGATTGTTGAGGAAAATGAGGAAATGGAGGAATGTGAAATGAAGAACCATTTCCCTGTTTTATGAGGTCAGCACCATCTGATACCAGAGCTTGATGAGGACACAAAGGAACACTACAGGCTAATTTTTCTAGTGAACACAAAGCAAAAATTTGGAGCCAATGTGAACAAACCAAATCCAGTTACCAAGTGCAGTTTATTCCAAGGATTCAAAGTTGGGTTAACAATCTAAAATCAAGAAAGACATCACATTGGCCAAGCAAAAGAGAAGCATTACATGGTCCTTTCTTTTTTTTCTTTTTTCTTTTTGGTAATTTCAAAAGAAGCAGAAAAAGTATTTGATAAAATTCCACATCAACTCATGAACAAAGTTAGCAATCTATAAATAAAAGGGAATTTCCTTCATCTTTTAAAAGAAATCTACAAAATATCTATAGGAAATATACACAATGGTGGCATACTGAAAGCTTTCTCTGGGCAGTTAAGTGAGGAGATAGATATGCTGTCTGTACCACTTCTGCTACTCAATATTTACTTAGTAATATAGATTGAGAAAAAGAAATAAAAGGTATAAAGATATGACAGTAGAAAACAAACTGTCATGATTTTGATTCTGAATATAGAAAATCCAATAGAATCCACAGGACTGAAATATATGTGCATGTTCAAATGGCTATTTTCATGGGAGAAGGGATTGAGAGTATTACCTTGCACCATATGTAAAACGTAATTCCAGGTGTAGATGTAAATATGAAAGGTAAAGAGCCAAAGTTTCTCAAAGATAACATAGGATAATTTTTTTATAACTTTGGGACAAGCAAAGTTTTAAACAGGATACCAAAAAATGTTAACCGTAACGGAAAAGATTCACAAGTTTGGATGTATTAATATTAGGAACTTCCAGTTACCGAAAGATACCATTAGGTGAAGAGGAAAGTTAAGAATGGGAGAAGATATCTGCGATATATATAATCGACAAAGAGCTTATCTTCAGAATATATAAAGAACTTCTGCAAATCAATGAGAATAAAGACAGTCCAGTAGAAAATTAGGCAAGGAAACTCAACAGATACTTTACAGAGGAGACTATCAAAATGGCAAATAGATACATGAAAAAGGGCTCAACCTCATTAGTCACCAGACAAATAATTAAAACCGCAATAGGAAGTTCCTACACACTGATCAGGAAAGCTAAAACTAAAAAGACCAATGATACCTAGTGTTGGAAAGAATAGGTGACAAGAACATTCCTATACTACTTATTGGGGCATTAGCTGCCTCCAGCAGTTAGGAAAACAGCTTGGCACTACTTTCTAAAGCTGACCTTGTGCATATGCTATGACCTAACAATTCCACTCTTAGGAATATACCCAAAAGATGTGTACACATGTGCAGCCAAAGGCACATGCAGCAATGTTTTTAGCAGAAATATTCCCCAGCAGGACATAACTCAACCATCTGTTGAGAGTAGAATGAACAAATTGTATTCCATCCTATGTAGCATTTATATACAATGGAATACTACAGAGAAACAAAAATGGATCAACTACAGCCGTATAAAACAATATGGATGAGGAATCTCAGAATAATGTTGAGCAAAAGAAGCCAGACACAAGGATCACAGATAATATGATTCTACTTACATAAAATTTACAACAAATACATGATGTGAAAAGTTCAGGATAGTGGGTACCTTGGGAGCAAGTCGAAGGAGTGACTGGAAAGGGACGTGAGGGGTGCCTGTGGAGGGCTGCCCGTGTTCTGTTCTACGTGGGTGGCAGTTACAGTGATGTTTATTTTGTGATAAGTCATCAGGCTGTCTGTCCAATTCTGATTTGTGTTAAGTTTCTGTGTATATGTCAGAGTCAATAAAAAAGATTTTTTAAACAGGCATAAAAGATCACTTGTAGCTCTTTAAAATATACAGATCATGGAGGGCTCATGGGATGTTCAGGGATGAGTCCTAAGCACTTGAGATTTTAAAAAGCATCCCCATCATTCTGGCCTGCACTAGAGGTGAGTAACCATAGGTTGAAATACTTCACGAAACATTACAGATCTCTTTTCCTTCTATAGAGAGGCATGGCCAAATGACGCACAGGCCCACCTTGGAGTCCTAGTCAAGAAGCCACTTTTCTTTCCCCCAACAACTGTGTGTATGTGTATCAGTATGTAGGTATCACTGTAAAAGTCATCACTCCTTTAAGGAAGAAATAACCAACAGCCAGCAACTCACCAGTGGGAACACTTCGTCATCACTAAGCAGGGGGCTTGTCATTTCTTTGGTTTGAAATGGCAAAGGGGGCAGTGGCGGTGTTGCACTTCTGTTTGGCTCCCGGTCTCGGCTAAGTCTAAACGAGAAGGATGGTCATTGTTACCGCTACTGAGGACACTGCTGGTTCATGTAGCTAAGCCTTTACTTTTCTCTGATGTCTAACGGAGGGGAGAGCACCACAAAACGTCTGGGCTTATCTTGGGATCTCTTTGAAAATAATTTCCTGGTAAGTCATTTCTAATGATTAATAATGAGCAGAAGACTTGGTAATTGTTAAAAATATTCTTCTATTCTTATTGCTTATCATCCGTTTCTACATTACTTTCGGATCTCTTTGCCATTTAATTAAAAAACATGATGCCAGTTGCAGAAAAACCTCAAAACAGCTAACAATGCTGCCCTCAACAATTCTAAATAATCCTCTTTGTGTATTCTCTATTTCACTAAACCTTGCTGGCTTTCTTAACAGAATTATACTTCTCTCTCTCTTTAAGTTTTTTGTTTTATTTATTTCTGAGAGGGAGAGAGAGAGAGAGAGAGAGAGAGAGAGCGAGCATGAACAGGGGAGGGTCAGAGAGAGAGAGAGATACAGAATCTGAAACAGGCTCCAGGCTCTGAGCTAGCCATCAGCACAGAGCCTGACACGGGGCTCTAACCATGAGATCATGACCTGAGTCAAAGTCAGATGCTCAACCGCTCAAGCGACTGAGCCACCCAGGTGCCACCCCCCCCTTTTTTTGATGCTAGAATAAGTCCTTGCACAATAATTCTAATTCCTATAGGACTTAATAATTTGTAACATGTTTTCAATTAATATCTTCTCCTAAGCTCTTCCACACTTAGTTGTATAACCTTGAGCTTGAGGAGGTATCTAGATCCTTCTGTGACTTTAGTTTTTTCATTGATAAAAAATGAGTTGTTAGGAGACTTGAACTCCACAGTTTGGATAAAAGGTACAGTACAGAATTAGTTGTTTGTGCTAACATATAAAGTGGAAGATGAAACTGAATACATTTTTAAAATTTTCATATGCTGACTAAACAAATGAATAATGGAATGAAAAACTAAACTAACTTGACCTAAGATTTTACATAAAAAGATCCAATGGTATGAGCTCTTTGGAACTAAATAAATATCTTTCTGCACATTAATTCATGAAATTGGGGTTGAAATTTAATCAAAATCATCAAAGCCCATGAAAACATAAGAATCCCTTCACCTTAAACTTTATTCATTTTTACTGATTATTCACAATCTTCAGAGGTAATGATTTACCATTTTCAAAGGCTTCATATTTGAATTTTGCATGGTTCAAACAAATTTATGTCATTGTTCTCTGTTCTTATCCAAAGACTATCTACACAGACTTGTTTCTTATTATGTAAACATTTTCAAAGCAATGCATACAAATAGCAATAAAAGTTAAGTGAGACATCTGTAAATTAGGACATAAAAAACAAACACAACATGTTTCCCATTTTTACTTATCTTGAAATATATCTTTTTTTAAATCCATTCTCCCAAACCATAATTACCATGGAAACAGAACAGCAAATTAAACTGAAATAACACGGTTTATGATGTGCACGTTAAGATAAAACATCCCACAATTCAGATAGAATTATAACAATTGCAAAGCACATCTGCATAGAATCTTCAGCTGAACCTTTTAATTTGAGGGAGGCTACCATCTATACTTCAAAGCATAGTGGGACAAAATAAGATAATTATAGAAGTGGCTCAAGAAATATGTATCTCGTAATCTCAATTATACGAAGATTTCAGGGAAAGTGTTATTCATCCTAAATTATCTAAAGAATTATCTCAATTATCCATTTTGCTTTGGATGTATCGATACAGTTTTATAGTGTTAATTACTAAAATTTATATATGAACATTCTTTTTATTGTATGATCAATAAAATGTAGACATTGAAGGAAAGACTACATTATGGTTTTTTTTTTTTTTTCTAGGAGAGAGAGAGACAGCGTGAGCAAGGGGGGGGGGCGGTCAGAGAGAGAGGGAATCACAGACTAGGAAAGACTACATTATGGAGTAAAATACTTTTGCTTTAAATTGTCTTTATATCTGAAAAGTTCTTCTTCTTCCTTTTTTGTAAAAAAAATTTTTTTAATGTTTATTTATTTTGAGACAGAGAGAGACAGCGTGAGTGGTGGAGGAGCTGAGAGAGAGGGAGGGAGAAATAGAATCCGAAGCAAGCTCCAGGCTCTGAGCTGTCAGCACAAAGCTTGATATGGGGCTTGAACCCACAAACCGTGAGATCATGACCTGAGATGAAGTCAGACACTTAATGGACTGAACCACCCAGGTGCCCCAAAAGTTCTTCTTCTAGAATGCAGCTATTCAAATACTTCCTAAACTACCTTGTAAAAAAACCGCTCAGTGTATCAACTTAAAAGCTCTTTGAAATTATTTCAGATGGCTTTTACTAGCCTCTCACGAGCTGGTCTGCCCAGTCAGCGTTTCCACAGGCCCTAGTCCAAGCCTCTGCCTACTTCTGCCAGGAAAGCTGGCCTCACTTGTCGTTGGGAACAGAACTCTGCCCACTTGAGACCTGGGTCCACTCTCTGCAATCTTCAGAGCTGCCTAACTGTCCATCCCTTCCTGGCCTTCAGTTAATTTTCCCTGGGCTCTGGGATAACATCCTCAGCATAGAATCGGATCCCTTCACAAACTGCTAATTGGCCTGCTTTCAGCCTCACCTTCTAACGCTCCACATGATGCCCCCAGTTCTTTGAACAACTCATTATTTCCCGGCCCACAGCTGTTCAGCCTGCTTTGTTTTGTTCCTTCTTGAGTAACACCTTGGCACAAAATTTTCTCAACTTGTGTTTTTGCTTCTAGATGACTATTCATTCCCTGACAAGGGATCTTGTGAGAGTGGTCACGACAAGCCTACCGATGTTCTGGTTTTCTTAGGATTAGAAACTTTTTATTTCTGAACTACATTTGAAGCAATTTTAATGATTAATGTTAGCATTACTAAACTCTTTCCAGTACATGATGGAACTTCCAAGCATGCATCATATATAGAGAAGAAACTCCATTTATTACAAAATTGAGTTGTCATTAAAATTAGTCACATATTGATTGCTCTGGGTACCACTATTTCAAATTAGCTTATAAATTAGCCTTAAATTTCAAAACTCTAACTTCTAAACACTTTTAAAATATTCAATACAGGGGTCTGGGTGGCTCAGTCAGTTAAGCATCCTGCTCTTGATTTTGGCTCAGGTCATGCATGGTCTCGCAGTTTGTGAGATCGAGCCCCACATCCAGCTCTGTGCTGTCAGCAGGGAGCCTGCTTGGTATTCTGTTCCCCCTTCTCTCTGCCCCTCCCCCCTGCTCATGTGCTCTCTCTCTCTCTCTCAAGATAACTAAATTTAAAAAAATTTTTAAAGAACTCAATGCATTCTCACCAAATTCAATTACATCTTATTTATAATTTTAAGTGCTGAATAACTTTCTTATCAGAAAGCAAATCTGTTAGAACATCCTAAGGGGTGCCTGGGTGGCTTAGTCGGTTAAGCGTCCGACTTTCGCTTGGGTCATGATCTCGCGGTTCGTGGGTTCAAGCCCTGCGTCGGGCTCTGTGCTGACTGCCAGCTCAGAGCCTGGAGCCTGTTTCAGCCTGTGACTCCCTCTCTCTCTGACCCTCCCCTGCTCACGCTGTGTGTCTCTCTCTCTCCCCTAAAAATAAATAAAACATTAAAAAAAAAAATTAAAAAAAAAAAAAAGAACATCCTAAAAGGCTTCACGTTTTCAAGTGGATGAGCATGAAGAACTTCCTATTACTTCTAATAGGAATGAAAAACAACAAAAATTGGCTTACTTGCAAGTGGGCAAAAGATTATTTAAAGACGTATTATACAAATCTTCCTCAGCTAAAAGGAGGAAGTGGCTGAAATTAGACAAAACTTTTGTGGAACATCATCTTCATGTACTTTTACCTAAAAGCCTTTTCCTTTCTGAAATAGTTTCCTAAGACCTTGTGGCACTGGCCTGTGCTATGTAAATATGACTCAGTGTTTTCCGATGATGTTTACGCCTAACAAATATATCTGGGCTTCACTGAGCTGTGCTGTGAGGGAAAGAAGGAACATTTCATTTTTCACTTGCTAAGACTAATAGACATGTGCTTTACAGCCCTCCCCACTGCTGAGTTCAGGGTCCTTACAACCTCACGACGCTCTCCCCGTACTGGATTCGACATGATAATAATTTATTCAGAACATTTGAAATGCCATTTCTCTTTAAAAAAAAATCAGGTCACTGGAGAACACTGAAATCAGGCAAGGCATTAAAACAATTTAATGAAACTCTCACCAGATGAGGCTGGCAGGTGACGAGGCTCTGCGGCAGGAAGACCAGCCCAGACTGCTTATCAAGTCCTCTCCTGCGGAGCACTTTACCCCCGCGTGTTGCTTTCTGCGTCCCCTACGGTCTGGTTTTTGTTAGGCGCCTTGAACGCATTCTGTGCCCTCCAAAAAGAGAAAGGGGGGGCAGCCCAGGGTAACTGCCTTTAAAATAACAGCACCTGGTAGGTCCGTTCATCTAAGGTTTTCAAAGATCCTCCCAACAAGCAGGAGTAGGAAACAATGTTCCACACCCAGTGGGTGCTCGGCACAGACCGGGCCTGACTCCCGTGCGCAGGAAGGCCCCTTCTAACAGCTCTAGGCGCCTGCTTTTCTCTCGCAATGAAAGAATCCTAGGCATGCGGCCGCGATTTGACCCAGGGAGAAATGAATCTATAGGGCAGGGAAGCACTTTGAAAAGGGTCTGTTCTATATCAGAAAAAATATTTCTATATCACATCGAGATGAGACCCCTTCGGGAGACAGATTTTCAGTTATAGCCCGCGGCACACACGGGCACATGCCCTGGAGAGGTGGCCCGTGGCCAGGCCTCAGCAGACTGTCCCTTCTGCCCCCAGGCCACGTTTGTACCGCGGCCATCCGCCCCCTGTGGGCATCCTCAACTCGCCTCGCACCCCTCGGAGCTGCGGCCCAGGGCCCCCTCCCTCTCCCCCACCTCTTCCCTCCCCCATCCTGCACCCCACCGCCTGCCCCCTGACGGCAACCCACCACCAGTATACTTAGTTTCTAGGGTAGCAGCCAGTCTGCCCTCATTTCCTTCCTGAGCTTCTCGAAAAAAGGTTATTAATTAAGCACTTTTGAATGGTTGCTGTTTCTTGGATCGGATTGGGATCTAGCCTCTAAGACGTGCAGGGCTGAGGGGATGCAAGTAGGAGAGAGCTGCACTACGTCCACAAGAACGTTGAGCAGACATATTTTTTGCTATGTCCCATGGATTTATGGATTTATCCACCTGCAGCTGGGCCGTGCTTAGTTACAAAGATAGGCCGGCGTCGCCCCTCCTCCACAGGACTGTGTTTTGCGGGAATGTCAGATTCAGCCATTTGTTTGGCCACCCAAAGCTACTTTTTGGCACTGTGAGTTGTTGAAGAAGTATTCAATTTATTACAAATGCTAACAATTTTATTCGTAATATCAATAATAATGGCTAACACTTATGGAAATATGTTTTCATAGGGAACTATGGTTTCTTCTATAATTCTCACACAAAAAGACCCTTAGAATTATTATCTCTATTTATCAGATGGGAAATTGAGGCTCACAAATTTTAAGTAAATTTCCCAAGGTTGTTAATATTATGTTATATGAAAACAATATGTGAGGTTTTCATGCTACGCGTGATGAGTTTTTGAGCAAAAGTTGTATCGAAGTTAGGTAGGTCCTATCAATTTACCCTTTCTCGGTACCATGAAATGGTAATAAATCTGATATTAAAGAAGTTTGGGGAATGTTGCATGCCACACCCTTCCTGAAACTCACAATGCATATTAGCATATTAATGACCCAATATCCTGGAGAAAAGAAATGTGTTTATTTTGCTGGGAACTTTTCAAGTTTGGAAAAACAGTGAAAAGCTTCTAGAGGCCGTTTTGATTCCATAGTATTTTATTAAAATTGAATAAATTAGTCTAATTTTATGGCAGATGTATTTACTGAAATTTTGAACTAAGACACTTTAAAAGGGGAGCATGTGGATAGCAGACATTAATTTTCCACATGCTTCTCTTCACTCAGAGAAAACCTCTTCCACACCCTCCAGTTCCTTCCCTATGAAGGGACCAATGGTTTGTCGCCACTGTTGGAGAATCAATATAAAGTGTGTATTTTTTTTAATGTCTTTTATTTTATTTTGAGAGACAGAGACAGAGAGGGAACAGGGGAGGGGCAGAGAGGGAGGGAGACACAGAATCTGAAGCAGGCTCCAGGCTCTGAGCTGTCAGCACAGAGCCTGACGTGGGGCTCGAACCCATGAACTGTGAGGTCATGACCTGAGTCGAAGTTGAATGCTTAAATTGACTGAGCCACCCAGGCGCCCCTAAAGTGTGTATTTTGAAGTTGTCAGAAGCGACATATTTTCTGTCATATTATTATGACATATTACATATTTAATATGTAACATATTAAAATCTAGTTTTTCTGGGCGGCGCAGTCTGTTAAGGGTCTGACTCTTGATCTTGATCCAGGGTGATGACCTCACAGTTCATTGGTTCCAGCCCCGCGTCAGGCTCTGCGCTGATGGTGCAGAGCCTGCCTGGGATTCTGTCTCTCCCTCTCTCTGCCCTTCCCCTGCTGTGCTCTCTCTCTCTCAAAATAAATACATAAACTTAAAAAAATAAAAATAAAATCCAGTTTTTCTATTCTTATGACATAAAGAAATAAGATTACTTCTTTGTATATTTTATGTGCCACATCAGCTTCTAAGAAGGGTTTGAATTGAGTAAAGTTCACTATAACCCTATCGTTTCACTGTTGTATTTTGAAAGCTATTGACAACACAGAATTTAATATAAAACAATATATCACTATAAAATTTTAACAACTGAAGAAATAGTATATAAGAGCTCTTTTTTGAATTGTTTAAAAATACATTTCTATGAAATATTTCTACATTTATGTCCTTATATAATGGAGCTGACATACCTATCTTCATTCTTTTCCATTTTTATTTGGTTTTGATAGGTGTACTGTCCCATTTCTTCGTAGGTGTTTTGATCGGCCCACGCTGCTTTGCCATTGGAGCGAAGTTTTGCAAGATCATTTCGGAGCCTTTCATTCTCATATTCCAGTTTGTTAATAGATGTATGCCTCGAGTGTGCCCTGTTAGTGAAGTCCAAACTCTAGAGAATGAAAAAGCCATCACTGAAAAAACCGTTCCTTAGAAGGGAATACATACTTTCCGTGCGCTTAGACAGGGCCGTCATCGAAGAGCCCTTTCGTCTGAGTCCAGTGACAATGGCTCTACTCGCATATGCCCTAAAGCCTTCTCCTGCCCTCACCCCCTCACAACACGGACACTTAGTGACAGCTGCTGCTGAACGCATCACAATGAGAGCAATACATTGCTCTCACTGTCCGTGTTCGCTTTCACATTAGTGTTTTCTCTCTCTAGAACAGACTGGCTGGATTTAAGCTTCTCATGTCTACAGGGTATATCTTCTAGTGTTAATAATGGAACCAGAATTAACATACATCATACATTTCAATTTTGGACGGTTTTTTCCCTCTGATTACAATAATACATGTCATGATAGTAAATCACATATCGATTTCCCACTGTTGGGTGATGCAACAATGATCTTCCAAATCCATACAGACTAGAGTCTGACTCGGGACCGTTTTACAGTAATGATCTAACAGTTGGGATTGTGCCAGTACCACGGTTTTGAGGAATGCGGCTTCGTGATGAAGATTTACTATCTGGTGTGAACCACCTAATTTTAATGCGTCCTAAGAAGGGAATATGAAACATGTTTTTTTTTTTTAAATGTTTTATTTATTTCTGAGAGAGAGAGAGAGAGAGCGAGCAGGGGAGGGTCAGAGAGAGAGGGAGATACAGAATCTGAAACAGACTCCAGGCTCTGAGCTGGCTGTCAGCACAGAGCCCGACACGGGGCTCGAACCCACGAACCGTGAGATTATGACCTGAGCCGAAGTCAGACGCTTAACCGACTGAGTCACCCAGGTGCCCCGGGAATATGAAACATGTTTAGATCACAAAATGAGCGGTTTAGAGCAAGAACAAAGACTTATTTGAATTAAATGCTGTGAGAAGTTTTAGGGAGAGTCTAAACTTTTCTTCTCACAGAGTTTTAAAAAACAGGATATATCCTCACACGAAAACTCATGAAAATGCTTTAAATGACTACATGGTCCTTTCTAGTCCTATGATTTAGATATCTGTGGGACATGTAGTTGCTGATTCAACAACAGTTCTCTGTTGCCAGAGGGTAATATTTTTGCACAAAAATATGACATGGATAAAGTATCATTTTTTAAAAATTTTTTAAATGTTTTATTTATTTCTAGGAGAGAGAGAGAGAGAGGCAGCGTGAGCAGGGGAGGGTCAGAGAGAGAGAGGGAGTCACAGACTGAAACAGACTCCAGGCTCTGAGCTGGCCGTCAGCACAGAGCCCGACGCGGGGCCCGAACCCACGAACCGCGAGATCATGACCTAAGCGAAAGTCGGACGCTTAACCGACTAAGCCACCCAGGCACCCTGATAAAGTATCATTTTTGAAGCTCTGAATTTCTATAGTTGAAAGCCCATAAGACCATACATGAATATGGCTTAGAACTTTTATTTTGAAGTTTCTAAATGTAAGGTTTTGGCATAGGCCATTTTATTTACTAGGTACCCCATAAAGTAATCATTATTATTATTATTTTACTAACTGCACATTTTATATTATACATATACTATCATATTAGTGTCAGGATTGATAAGTGCAGAAATGTATACATATTAAGTGTTAAAAATGTTTACCTATTTGTCTTAATTTTTGCTTTCAAAGGTCAAGACTGCTTATTACATTTTCTGTTTCCTACCTAATGTGTTATAGAAATTCATGAATCTTTAGAAAGGTCCCACTTTTGAAAGAAAATTCTCCAGGAGGCCAAACTGCCCCAAAACAATACAGAAAGGTTATGTGTTTATAATGCCCTTTGGTAGAGAAGGACCATTAAAAGGTATGTCTCTGCTTATTAGGCCTTTATCTTTCGTAGATCTTAACATTTGCTCTTTTGAGATACACCAGTGCAGATAAAAGAGTAATCTATAGCATGCTTTACAAAAGAAAGAATTATTTATTCTAAAGTTAGAGTAGATTTGCGATAAATATAAAGAGGCTGTCTTACAAAATTTTGCCCTTCATAAGGAAAATATTCATATGAACAGATCTGGTTGAGAAAGGTCATGAAAAGATTGAAAATTTTACTCTAAAAAAATCTATTCATCAAAATATGTAATTCTTGATGGTCTGCTGCTCGGTTATAATTTTATTCACACCTTTTCTATAAGTTTAGATTTCGTCTGTGATTCTTTTTGACCCAGTGTTGGTTTAAAGTCATTAAGAATGATAGTAATACTTTTTCAAAAGTCTCTATAATTTTCTAAATGCACCATAATTAAATAAGTGTTGAGAGCACGACCTGAAAAAATTACAGAGATAATGTATTCACATGATTTATATTTAAAAGCATTTTCCCTTTTTCTTGACAACAACCTTTTTGGGCTCTCTCATTTCACGTTTTTCTTGAAGGCTTTTCTAGTAATTTCAGGACTATATCCTTCACTAGATGGGTTATCACGTGAAAAAAGGCACTGATTAAATTCTACCTCTATTTCTGATGGGTTATTTTAGAGGCTTGTTAGCTCAAATTTTCTTCCCTCAAATTTTAGGGTTTTGTAGTTTTAATCCATTGCTTCATTCTTGAAATGGCAAAACTTCCTAGTATTTGTTTACTTTGACATGCCAGCATGAGGCCAGTTGAATTACTGGTGTCTGAAGAACAGTATTTTATGTTACACTTTTTCTTTTAAATTTACGTATATTCAACAAGAATAGGCTAACAAATTATTTCTACAGAAGGACAGGCTTTAATCATGTTTTATGGTTAGCATATTAATTTTTTAAATATGTAAGTGGATGTTTTAGATTATTGTGAGGGTACTAATTTTTATGCTATTATTTTATTTGGCAAACTTCATGGATAGCAAAAGGCAAATGAGTCTTAAAAATTACCACAAATTCTGAGTTCTGATTAAATCTGATTTTATGACACCTTTCTTAAATGAAGGGAAATTTAATAAATACACTCATGGGCCGAAGTAAATATGGAATCACAAAAAACTCTCATGAAAAACTTGATGTTGCATTAGCTACCCGAGAATAAAGGTAAACACCTCACACTTTTCTGAGTAATTGTGCACAAATCCAAGGGAAACGTCTTTCTCAGAGCCACTTCTGTTACAGTTTTAAGTATCCTAAGACCTAAGGAAAAGTTACCAGCCAGGTGGGCAGTCCCATCCCAGATTTGGCAGAGGAAACCGGGCACTGCTGCAGCCGGCCAGCCCGCAAGCATGGGGACACCCACGGCAAGCCTGCACCCGCCAGTACCTGAGGGCAGGGCGCTTCCCCTACTGCTAGGTGAGGGCCTTTTTTGACCTTTCTTTCCCTAAATGTGAATAAGCAGGGTGCTTCACAGTTAGTCAACCGGAAAAACTCCCAAAGTTCTAGTTATTTAGAAATGACCTACCTTAATATCAGTAATTTCACTTGTCTAGAAAGGAAAAAAGATAATGGTTATTCGAATATTATCCAAATACCACATATTTTAGAAGACCTAAAACTAATGATGTAAATATTTTGCTTCTTCCTGCGTGGGGTAAAAATTAAGCACCAATCGTTTAATTCCATGTTTATTTATCCATTCCAATTACTTCAGAAAGAATTAACTAATTGTGGGATCTGAACACGTAACAGATATGAGTTTTCTTTAATATGAAATCTTTAATGAGTGCTACATAAAGTGACATGATAGATTGTATACTTAAAAAAAATTTTTAAAGCATTTATGTAGTTTTGAGAGACAGACGGAGAGCAGGGGAGGGGCAGAGATTGAGGAAGACACTGAATCTGAAGCAGAGCTGTCAGCACAGAGTCTGACACAGGGCTCGACCTCACAAACTACAAGATCATGACCTGAGTCAAAGTCGGATGCTTAACCAACTGAGCCATCCAGGCGCCCCAGATTATACACTCTTAAAGAACAAAGAATTATATTTGCTTTTTTATAAATTCAATAGGCACTTGAGAATTTTCTCTTTGGAGAGTGGCTTGACTATTTCAGTTATCAAAGTCAATTCTAAATCTTCACATATAAAAAACAGAGAGAGCAATTATACAGTCAACTTTCTATATGAATTATAATTCTACACAAAGCATATGTGATTGAATACTATTTTAAAAAGGCATCACATTGAGGTGCACATATCAATGGCATTCCGTTTTATGATATCCAGCTAACCACTCTTTAAACAAACATATGCTGTATATATATGTGCTAAGTGCTACAGAGGTAATCAAGTACGAAAAATTGACCCTACCTTCATGGAAAATACAATAAAACTGAGTAGGCTAAATTAACATGTGTGAAAAAATAGTGAATGATACAGATAAAGTATAATTATGTATTAAATTATGTTGCACCAAGTATAAACTCAAATGTTTTCTGAATCAATGAATGGCAGCTAAGATCATCAGAAGGTGAGATAAAACAAGAGTCTGGCAATCTCTCATGATGTGAGCAATAGCCTCCATGAAAATTTATTCGTGCCTCTTACACCACAGGTGAGGCCCATAAATCCACAAGTATTCATTGAGCCTTATCCTACACCAAACCCTCTAGGAAGAAGTATAAAATATAGTCCACTTCTCCCCTAAAGAAGCCTATGACTAACAGCCAAAACATATATACACTAAACAACTAAAAAAAAAAATAAAGGAAGACAACCCAAAATTCAGTGCTAAGGAAAAGCATTCAGGTGGAGGATATCTAAAGGATTCATTCATTCATTGACTCACTCACTCACTCACTCATTTGATCATTCACTCATCTAGCAAAATATTTTTTCACTGCCTCCTATATTCAGGCGCTGTACTAAGCACTTGGGTATAATGGTAAACTGGGACCATAACCGCCCTCAGTGAGCCTACTGGTAAGGGGATGTGTAGCTAACAAGAAACAGGTAATTTTAACCTTGTACTTATGATAGGTGTTAAATAAAGGATGTTAGGGTGGTTACTAGGAGGGACACTTAACAGAGCAGAGGAAAATCAAAGAAGATTTTGTATAACATGTAAAATTTATGCTGAGTTATCTGAAACATTAATGGGGCATAACTATGTGAAGTGGGAAAAGGGAATTTTTAGGTAGAAGGAAAGCACGTGTGAAGGCCTGGAAGCAAGAGAGAGCATGCGAAATGACCATCACATATGCAGAGAGTAAGACAGGTCTAGCACTCGCAGAGGGCTTGTTGGAGGCCACAACAAAGTGAGAGAGCTAGATTGAGGACGCCACGGAATATGAAGAGTTCTGACCTCCAACTGGAAATTGAGCATGTGTTCTTGATAGGAAGAAGAACACAACAAAAGGTTATATAGGAAAAGCACATCTGGTACAAGAAGTGGAGAGCTTGGAAGCCACGAGGTAATTCAGAGGAGGTAACTTGGAGTGGTTGGTGGATCGAACCTCTAAGGGAAAGCACCGAGCCAGAGGCGCAAGAGCCAACAGCCAAACTGGGGGCATGAGGGGAGGCAGAAACAGGAAGGTGATCAGCCAGTGAGTAAAACAGAAGAAACAGAGAGAATCACAGGATATTATAACAGTATTATGCACTTGGAATTATCCAAACCAACTTACGAGCTATGTGATTTGGGGCAAGTTACTTAAAAACGGAAAGATTTCATTCCTTTTTCTGTGAAATGGTTATCGTCATACCCAACCACCACATACTTGTTATAAGGATATAGACACTGATGTATGTAAAACATTCAGCAGATTATAAGGCATGTAGTAAACACCCAATAAATTATAACTCTTTGTTATTATTTAATTCTACCAGTTTTCCTGACTTTCTCATCTCTGGTCGTTGTACATTCTATTCTCTCAGCATGACTCTTTCCCACCAATCTGTCTGGCTGACTGCTCCCCAGATGCCTTTTATTACTCCCATGACAGGGTTAAGCAACCCCTATTAGTGCCCCCCAATTATAGCTGCAAAGAGATAAGGAAGAACCCTCTTCTACAGGTTTCAGAGGGAGTATGGCCCTTGTAACACCTTGATTTTGGACTTCTACTTCCAGAACTATATGACAATAAGTTGTTTTAAGTCACCCAGCTTGTGGTACTTCGTTATGGCTGCCCCTAGCAAATGAACACAACAGCCAAGAAGGTTTATTCCCTAAATTCAAAGATGGGTCAATATCAGAAAATCTGTCAGCCATACTCTATCATATCAACAAATTATAGACAAAACCCACATGATGTCATCTATGCTGAAAAGCTGTTTGATAAAAGCTGGCAGCAAATCTTAAAAACTCTAAGTAAACTAGGAATAAAAAGATATAAGGCCATAGCCCAAGAACAACAATTATTCTAAATGGTAAAACTCTAAAACAATTTCATCTAGAATCAGAAGGTTTTGTCCCTAGCAATCACTATTATTATTTAATATTTCCTTGGGGGTTTTAGCAAATGCAGTTATGACAAAAATAACTGATATGAACAGTAGAAAAAAAGAGCTAAAACTATCTATTTTTGTTAAAATGACAATATATCTCAAAAATCCCTAAGAACCTCTAGTAAATGCCTACTAGAATTTAAAGACAATTTGCCTTTTTTACTATATTAGCAATAAGTACTTAGATACAGAGAAAGGAAAAGACTTCACTTACAACAGTGACAAGAATTATAAAATACCTGAGCATAAATTTTAAAAGAAAGGCATAGAACCTATACAAAAAAAATTGTAAGATCTTATTTAGGAGCATAAACTGAGATACGAAGAAATGGAATTTATTATCATGAAAGTGCCAATTCTTTCAAAGTAATATGTAAACTTATTTTGATTCCAAATAAAACCCAACAGGAAATTATCTGGAGAGAAGGGATAAATTGACCTTAACCTTCATATAAAAATTTAAATTGGGTTCTTGTTTTATATCATATGTAAAATTATAATTCAAATGGGTTAAGGGCTTAGATGAAAAATATAAAAATCTTTGAAGACATTGTATGTCTCCTAACAGTGTATACTGTCTAGGAGTTGGAAAAATCTTGTTATTCTAGGAAGAAAACTCAGAAGCTGTAAACAAAAAGATACACATGTTTGACAAATGAAATTTAAAACTCTGTGTATGGTAGGGGAGCCTGGGTGGCTCAGTTGGTTAAGCATCTGACTTTGACTCAGGTCATGATCTCACGGCTTGTGGGTTCGAGCCCTGCACTGGGCTCTGTGCTGACAGCTCAGAGCCTGGAGCCTGCTTCGGATTCTGTGTCTCCTTCTCACTCTCTCTCAAAAACAAATAAACATTAAAACTTTGTGTATGGTAAAAGGATATCATAAATAAGATTACAAACAATACATTTAGGAAATTGCTGTTATAAATTGACAAGAAAAAGATATCCCGAAAGAAAAATGAGCAAAGAATATAATTCATAGTACACTGCCAATAATATACAAAAATATACTCACAGTAGCTAGGGAAATAGAAATTCAAGTACTACAGAAAAATCCCTTTACACCCATCAGACTGCCAAAAATTTAAAAGAGCAATAACACCAATTGCTCATAAGGAGGAAAGTAAGAGGTATGCATATACACAGATAGTAGAAATGTGACAACAAATGTTTTAAAATTAAAATATACACATCCTTTTTAAAAGTTTTAAAATTTATTTTGAGAGAGAAAGAGAAAGGGAGAGAGGGTGTGCTCAGGGTGGGGGGGGGGAGGGGCAGAGAGAGAGGAAGAGAGAGAGAATCCCAAGTAGGTTCCACGGTGATTTTAGTATACAGCCAGACACGGGGCTCCATCCCACAAACCATGAGATCATGACCTGAGCCAAAATCAAGAGTGGGATGCTTACCCAACTGAGCCACCCAGGTACCCCTAAAACATACATATTCTTTCAATCAGCAATTCTTTTCTTAGGAAGCTGTTCCAAAATATATGTATGAAGATTTTTTTACGGTATTGTTCATTTGTGCACAAATCTAGAAAGAGTTGAATTAATGACAAATGAATTGATCCTGAAAAATAGTTGAATAAATTTTGATACATTCACATCATGGGATAGTATGAAGCCAGTACACAAAATGAAATAGACCTAAACTAGTTGATTTATAAGGATTTTCAAAGGATATTGCTGAGTGAACAAAAACAAGACACAGAAAGGTATGTATAATGTGAACAATTTATAAAAACAGTTAATATATGACTATATATTACGTGTATGTATATATATTAGTTATATGACTATATACATGTATGTATAGAGAGTCACACACATACATACACATATATGAATTCATATATATGAAAAAGTACAAAACAATACATACTGAACAGTTAACATGTGTTATCTGGTGGAGGTGGGTATGAAGTGGGTAGGGAGAAGCAAGAAAAAAAAGACTGCACTAAAATCACTAGTATGTAAACTAGTATATAAAAATTCTATATATTTTACATGAGTCTATATTGATTTTCCTAAGACATCACAAAAAAAAAGATGTTTTCCTACTGTCTTACAGAGATGTTGGTGATACAGAGTCAAAAAGCAATTCAGAATCATGTATATATTATACACTTATTTCTGTAAAAGAACACTCAACTCCCTTCTCCATGTGTGTGTGAGCAAGAAAAAGTGGTAGAATGCTACATACTAGTTTGTTAGCACTGGATATCTCTGGACTCCAAACTGGGATTGGGGACAGCAGTGGAATATTTAGCTTCTTCTTCATAGATCTTTGTGTTTTATTTCTTGAAAAAGCCAAAAGCAAATGAACGGAACCAAATGCCTATACAAGCCAGAGTGAAGCAGGCTCAGTGTGGGCTGTGATGTCGCAGAATTCACACTTAAAAACACTTAGTTTTTAAAACACAACAACCAACCACAAAAACCATTTTTTGAGAAGGAAAAAAAAAGATTTTCATGAGGGCAGGACCCAATTTAAATTTTTGTGTGTTGAGCATTTAAAGAAACAAACCCTAGATGTCAGGGTTTTATGTAACAGGGAAACCATGCATACTTTACTTTTATCCATCTATCCTCAAATCTGTAACCAGGGCCAAAGAAGGCAGAATGCTTGACGAATGCTTCTAACTCTTTGATGCTAGAATACTTACTATTGTGAGAACAAGTATCTAGTCTCACAGAAATCTAGAATCATGGAGAACCCCTAGTCTACCTTCCTGGTGTCATAGCTGAGTAGCTGAAGCCAGGTGAAGCAATCACCATACTCATCTTTTATCCTCTCCATTTCCTCAGTGGCAGAAAAATTATTTTATTTCAGAATTTTCTCTCAGAGCAAATAAATGTTAAACAAGTAACAACAGTATTTCATTAGTTCAATAAATAAAAGTTCTTATACTTATGTATAAAAACCAACCTTCAACTGCTATATTCAACAATGTAGAGCCATTGGTTAAAACCACAAGGTCAATCTCAATCCTTCATTTATTCATCCTTTTATTCAACCAACATTCATTGAACCCAGCTATACCCCTGACATTGGGAGGTGCTCATGGTACAAACTTCAATAAAACATGGCCCCTGTTCACCATCCAGTGGGGAAGTGACAGGCTATAAGACAATCAAGACTAAGATCCAAACCCAGTGTGTGTAGATGGCACAACTCATTCTCACTGGAGTTTTTGAGGCAGCTTCATCAAGGTCAAGGTTGACACATGAGTCAGGCCACGAGGATCTCAGAGACAACAGTGAGAGCAAAAAAGCAAGGAAGTGGCATGTGTGAGGAAATGATCAGACTGTAGCCCAATCCAAGAAAAGAACAAAGGAGAATACTAGAAATTCAATTGTTCTAGCCTGAGGATAAAAGTTAAGTTTGGTCCAAGGGCACGATAATTTGTTGCCCCCACTTTTGCCTGCCTGACACATGGGAAGTGCTTAGCAAATAATGTCTGGGCAAGTGCTGACCAACTATGTAATCTCTTCGTTCAAGTTACTATTAATTTCAGTATTATTACCATGTACTGTCCGGGGTCCAAATCTCCCATCATCCCTTTCAGGTGTGTGTTTTCAGTTCTGACAGCTTTATATCTCATGTCTGAGATCTGAAAGGAGATGAGTGGGGGAAAAGTGAGTGTAATATTCATAATAAAAGCTCACAATTGTATTAAAATTAATTTTATCCACATAAACATTTTCTAAGTGCAATGAAGAGAAACACATCATAGGCATGATCATCACAAATCAGGTATTTGCATTCAGGTCTCTCTTTGGCAGCCCCCACTTTACCCTCCTTTCCTGATCAGTGCTAAATTAAAAACAGATACTGACAATAATGATGTTCTTTCCCATACCAAAATTCCATATCTCACTTCTATTTTCTATTGTATGTCAATTATCACCAGAAAAGCCACAATTTAAAACATGCTCAAATAACACTGCCCATTGAATTCTTCACTACCTAATTGTTAACAATATGCAAATGTGACTTTGATGTTTAATGTTGTTCTAATATTTCTGCCAAGTAACCCTCTTCTCCTGTGACTACTTCAGTTTGTCTAATTTATTTATTTTTCCCTGATTTTTTTCTACATGGCAATACTTAGACATAGTGTCTGCTCTTTTATTTATATAGGTCTCATTTCTTTTTTTTTTAATATTTTTAATGTTTTATTTATTTCTGAGAGAGGGAGACAGACAGCGTGAGCAGGGGAGGGGCAGAGAGACAGGGAGACAGAATCTGAAGCAGGCTCCAGGCTCTGAGCTAGTCATCAGCACAGAGCCCGATGTGGGGTTCGAACCCATGAACTGTGAGATCACAACCTGAGCCGAAGTCGGATGCTTAACTGACTGAGCCACCCAGATGCCCCTAGGCCTCATTTCTATATAAAACACTTCCCTGGAAAAGACTTTTGTAGATTACAAACTATACTTTCCTTAACAAAAACCTAGAAACATCAAAAAATATAAAGGTGAAAATAAAAATCATCCATAATCAAAAAGTCTTTTCAGCAAATGGTGTTGGGAAAACTGGAGAGTGACATGCAGAAGAATGAACCGGGACCACCATCTGACACCACACACAAAAATACACTCAGAATCCATGACAGACCTAAATGTAAGAAGGAGGCCATCAAAATCCTAAAGGAGAAAACAGGCAACAACCTCTTTGACCTTGGCCACAGCAACTTCTTACTTGACATGTCTCTGGAGGCAAGGGAAACAAAAGCAAAAATGAACTACTGGAATCTCACCAAGATAAAAAGCTTCTGCACAATGAAGGAAATAATCAGTAAAACTAAAAGGCAACTGACAGAATGGGAGAGAATATTTGATACCAGATAAAGGGTTAGTATCCAAAATCTATAAAAAACTTATCAAATTCAACATCCAAAAAACAAATAATCCAGTGAAGAAATGGGCAAAAGACATGAATAGACACTTTTCCAAAGAGGACATCCAGATGGCTATAGACACATGAAAAGAGGCTCAACATCACTCATCATCAGGGAAATACAAATCAAAACCACAATGAGATACCACCTCACACCTGTCAGATGGCTAACATTAACAACTTAGGTTACCAGATGTTGGCGAGGATGTGGATAAAGAGAAACCCTTTTGCACTGCTGGTGGGAATACAAACTGGTGCAGCCCCTCTGGAAAACAGTGTGGGGATTCCTCAAAAAATTAAAAATAGAACTACTCTATGACCCAGCAATTACACTACTAGGTATTTATCCAAAGGATACAGGAGTGCTGATTCAAAGGGGCACATGCACCTCAATGTTTATAGCAGCACTACCGACAATTGTCAAATGTCCGTCAACGGATATATGGATAAAGAAAATGTAGTATAGGGGTGCCTGGTGGCTCAGTCAGTTAAGCGTCTGGCTTCGGCTCAGGTCATGATCTCACAGTTTGTGGGTTCAAGCCCTGCATCGGGCTCTGTGTTGACAGCTCAGAGCCTGGAGCCTGCTTCAGAGTCTGTGTCCTCCTCTCTGCTCCTCCCTCACTCATGTTCTGTCTCTGTCTTTCAAAAATAAACATTAAAAAAAATTTTTAAAAAGAAAATATAGTATATATATATATATATAAAATGGAATATTATTCGGCAATCGAAAAGAATGAAATCTCGCCATTTGCAACAACATGGATGGAACTAGAGTGTATTATGCTAAGCGAAATACATCAGAGTCATATAATTTCACTCATATATGGAATTTAAGAACAAAACAGATAAAAATAGGGGAAGGGAAGCAAAAATAAGATAAAAACAGAGAGGGAGATGAACCATTAAGAGACTCTTAAATAGAGAACAAACTAAGGGTTGCTGGCGAGGTGTGTGTGTGGAGGTTGGGCTAAATGGGTGATGGGCATTGAGGAGGGCACTTGTTGGGATGAGTAGTGGGTGTTATATGTAAGTGATGAGTCACTAATCTCTATTCCTAAAACCATTATTACACTATATGTTAACTTGGACTAAATTTAAAAACTTACATTTCAAAAAAAAAAAATCATCCATAATCCAGTTACCCAGGTCACTGTTCACACCTGTAAAATATCTTCTACTATACAGATACAACCACTGCCACTACCTCATCTACGCTGTTTTCCTGTGTATTGTACAAAGCGATCAGTTTAAGGTGTAGAATTAGACAAAGGCCAAATCTCTTCTTGTTTTTATAACACAAGGGATTTAAATAACCATCTTATTTGTGAAGTGACTCTTAAATGCCCAGAAAGTTATTGAATGGTGCACTCAAAGCCTCTTGATTTGGGATAAAAAAAAAAAAAAAAAGCAGATAAGCCCTATAGATTTGAATCACCAATTTGATGATGAGCAAAGGGGTTGTGGGAATTTCATAAGAAATAGGAAGGAAGGAAGGAAGGAAGGAAGGAAGGAAGGAAGGAAGGAAGGAAGGAAAGAAGAAAACAAAGGAGGGAGGGAGGACTTTGAAGTTCTTGCAGTATTTTAACAGTAGAATGTTGTAACTGCAGTTTTTTACCATGAACCATGGTGTGCACTGAGTCAATGTTCAGTAAACATGGACTAATTTTTATGTTTCAACATCTGTTTTTAAAAACCCTAAAATAAATATGTAAAATTGAGGGGATACCTGGGTGGCTCAGTTGGTTTAGCGTCCAACTCTGATTTTGGCTCAGGTCATTATCTCATGGATTGTGAGACTGAGCCCCATGTTGGGCTCTGTACTGACAGCACAGAGCCTGCTTGATAGTCTCTGTCTCCCTCTCTCTCTGTCCCTCCCCTGTTCATGCTCTCTCTCTCTCTCTCTCTCAAAATAAATGAATAAACTTAAAAAATATGTATCATATATATGTGTGTGTATATATACATGGGTGTGGGAAGTATCCATGAAAGGCTGGAATAGAGGCTTTTTTTTAAGACAAAAATTTTAATGGAATATAGAAAACAAATCCAAGAAAAAAATCTTTGACTAGAGCATACTGTGAGAGGTCATCAAAATACGGGTCACGAGAAAATGTTAGGATGAAATTTAATGCAATTATCTTGTCACTTTTTCCCTGGTTCTTTTTCGATGACACTGTGCATTCTTTCACAAATGATGCTAGCCTCAGAAACACTACCAAGAAATGCAATGGCTTACGAATCAATGACGAAGACTACTGTCTGCACTGAGCAATACAGAGACCTGTACAAGTGCCATCCTGCCCGCCTCCATACCTGCTGTTTTGATAACAGTTTTTCTTTTATTTCTAACTCCATTTTTAACTGTCTTTCCAGAAAGGCAGCTTTCTTCATGATAGTTGCTATAGTGATCTCCTTCTGATGAAGTTCCTCTGTTAGGTCCGAGATTTCGTTCCTCATTCTTTCCTGCTCAGAACCCTGGCACTCCTCCTCCTGAGAGAGTTGGCTTCTTATCTGCGGCAGATATGTTCCAGTAAATATCAACAGATCTTTTTATTTATAAAGAACTTCAAGCTTTTGTTAGCCACGTTCAGTCTTCCGGTCCCATCTTAAACCCTTGGTGGGGGGGGGGGGAGGCACCCCAGATGGGGTGACTCCACCAGGTTCAGCCAAACCACAAAGGGCGTGACAGGCGGGACACAGAGAGGCCCCGGGTGGCCCGTGAGCGACCCCGCACCACATCCCCGTGAGAGTCTCAGATGGATGTGGGGGGGAGGGGGGGATGGGCATGGAGGAGGGCACTTGTGGGGATGAGCACTGGGTGTTATGTGGAAACTAATTTGACAATAAACTATTTATAGAAAAAAAAAAAGTTGTGGTTTATGTATACGAAGGAATACTACATGGCGAAGAGAAAGAATGAAATCTGGCCATGTGTAGCAACGTGGATGGACCTNAATTTTTTTTTCAAGGTAAGAACACTTAATGTGAGATCTACCCCTTTAAATTTTAAGTGCATAACTGAGGAACAAGGGGGAGAAACTGAGGAACAAGGGGGAGAAGAAGGGGGGAAATGGTGGGGGAAAGGGAGAGAGGCAAACCATGAGAGACTCTTGAATGCTGACAAAAACTGAGGACTGATGGATGTGGGGGGGAGGGGGGGATGGGCATGGAGGAGGGCACTTGTGGGGATGAGCACTGGGTGTTATGTGGAAACTAATTTGACAATAAACTATTTGTAAAAAAAAAAAAAAGAAATGTTAAAAAGTAAACTAAGAAACTGGAAAAAAAAATTTTAAGTGCATAATACCTTACTGTCAGCTACAGGCCCTGCTCCATAACAACCCATCACACAACCAACCACTGCAGAATGTGTGGTGGAAGAGCTCTAGACTCACTACCCAGAGGTGGATGGACCAGGCATGTTTTTAGGGAGAAAAAAGTGGCTTAGAATGGTTAGGTGCCTTGTTCAAGGTCATAAAGCTAATGACTGGCAGAGCCGAAACTAGAACCTAGGACTCTTGGTTTTAAATTCAGGGCTTTTTTGACTAAACTGTGTATACTGTTTGTGACTATATGTTTTTCAGAACCACGTTATAATAAATTTCAAATTTCATATGTCCATAAAAACGCATCGCCTCCTCCCCTTTCGCCTGTGGAGTCTCCTATTCTTAACCAGTTAGGCCTTCCCTATCAGCAATCTCTCGTTCACCTTGGGCTCCTCCCCTCCCCAGTCCCACCAAATCTAGTCAGGCAGCAAATTCTGTCCCTTGTACTTCTCAATCTCTCCTCGGCTCTCCATTTCTACTACCACTGTTTTAGTCCAGTCTCTTAACGCCTTTCTAGAAATCATTAACTGTGTCTAATTCTTGAGATCTGGAGATAAAGTACACACTCACTAGACTCAAGAAGAGTCCATTGTGGGAGACAAAAATAAACAATCGATGTCAGTGGTATGTTCTAGAGGGGTGCTTCACCCAGCCTGGGAATGTCGGCATGGGCTTCTCCGAGGACGAGATGGCAGACAAATATTGAAGATGACTAGAAGCCAGATGGAAGGCAGGGATGGAGAAGGGCTCCCAGGCAAAGAGTGAAGACTAGGAGGTAGAGGAGAATGCAGACACAGTGAAGCAAGAGGAGTCTGGAATGGCCGGGCCTTGGCCTGTCGTGAGACATGAGGCTGGAAAGGTGAGCAGAGCCATCCACAAAGAGATTTACATTAATTTCCTCATGTCACTTACTTCTAAAACTGATTTTTTTTTCATTTCATCTTTAAACATTTCAGGATATATCTGTAAAAGAATAAGGGCACTCTTTCTTTTTTTAAAATAGCCAAATAGCCAGAATACCAATGTAATATCTTAAAAATATTAACAATTCCTCAATATCATCAAATAACAATGTAATATCATAAGAATTTTAACAACTCCATCATATCAAATATCATCAAATATCCAGGGAGTATTAAAATATACAAATATATCAGAAGTGCAAGGGATGTTTTTTGTTTGTTTATTTGAATTGTGATCTAAATATGAGGACTGGCTCATATCTTTTTCAGGTCTTTCTTTTTGTGTGCGTTCTAAGTAGTCTGTATATATCATCTACGCCATGCAAGAGTTCTCTGTTTCACGGAATGAAAAGTTAAGTACGTAACGTTTCACAGCCACATTGCTGGTGACAGGCAGTCTGATTCCAGGACCTTACTACTCACTGTGCCATGTAACTAACCCATGGGCACAGGGCCCTAGAAGGTGGGTCACACATTGGAAAAAGCTAGCGTGGGATGATCTAACATGGAAAGGACATGTGTCCAGAAGGCAAACTTGATCTGTCCTTAGCTTTATACCACCAAACCTCCCATGTGATTTCGTTCTTAGTACTAACATTTTTAGAATTTCAGAGTTGGACATGACCTTAGGAATTACATGGTCCAACCTCATCATTGAACAGATGAGAGGAGAAAAAAGGACTCACCAGGAAGGGAACTAACTGTGCTTGAGTTACTCAGCATCTAAGAGCAAATTAAGGGGCCAGGAGACAGAGAGTACAAATGTCCTCACCCTGAGGACAATGTTACAGGCCTCATTTTGTCTCCAATCTTCTCTCTCCAGTTTTTTTCCTTACAATTTATTTGATGAAACAACAAAGCTGTTCTGGGGTTTGTCCCCATTTGGATTATGCTGATTACATCCCTGTTGTGTAGTTAACATGTTCTCTTAAGATGGAACTTTTAAAATGTACAAACGTGAATATACTATTATGAGAAAGGAGTAAACTATTTTTATTATTTTCACAGTGCTTAGATACTAAAACAACATGCTATACAGCAAAGCTTCCTTCTACATGAGATTAATTTACCGAGCTCTAAATGACCTTTAGCTTTATTAAAAATGTCAATTTTATCACAAAACAAAAATAGTTCTACACTGAAAATAAAGAGAAAGAAATAAAACACTTGCAAGATTCATAATACATGGCTCTTGTTGCTTTTATTACAAGAGAATGAAAATGCTCTCCACAAACACTTCCTGGGAGCTATAGCTATTTATACCCAATTCATTTGTTACCTTTTCTGCACAGTAGTGCATTATCTAGAGGTCTCCAAGAGCCTGTGAAGAGAATTTGTGCCTAGCACTCTCTCCTTCCATGTCAAAACTGCCACATCAGTAGATTCCTTATTACTCAAAGTTATATTGAGTCTGGGAGGTTCAGAACAGTGTAACTATACATTAGGTGGCTTTAATCAACCTTTGTATCATAATGCATTTACTGGGGACACGAGTAAAGAATAGGGTTTCAAAGCTATATTTTTAAATAGCAGTGAAATCAGTTTCATGGGAGTATGTGAAAACTATAAGGAAAATAACCGTTTATTCATAACAGTTTTCTACACTTAATAGCTACCCGACAGTCAACTGTTTGGGAGACAGGACTTGCCTTTCACATCACTGTAGTTCCTACAGAAATAAGCAGAATAGTTAGGGTCCCACTCGATGCTCAGTAAATGTCTGTTGACTTTATACAAACAACAACTGAATTTATGAGCCTGTACAATTATGGGAGACCTTCATCTTCATTCATTCTCCAAATACTTATTTTCACTTTTGTGTGCTGGGTGCCGTGCTGGGACAGATGTGATTCAAAGCCATGCTCAGGGTTCTCTGACTTTTAACAATTGTTTACATCATGTAACATTGGATATTTACATGTGATCCTCAAACCTAAAGACCAGAGATGTGGGTAGCAGCCATGATAAGCTTCATGGAAAGGAAGCCGCTACTGGATTTGCTAGGGAGAGAAGAGAGTATACTTTGCGTAGACAACTGGGAACCACAAGGTGTTCAAGGACAGTGCCTGGGCCTCATTCATCCTTACATTCCTAGCTCCTGGCAGATGACCTGGCTCGTGTTAGGTCCTGATGACAAAGGGTGGGTGTAACCATAAACAAGACAGCCTTCGCTTACTAGGTGCTTCCTCTGAGTTAGACAAGCCCTGCTCTAAGCACTTTACGTTTTAAATGGATTTTAATTTAAGGGAAGAGAGTGGACTCTGGAGTTAGACTGCCTCTGCTGCCTAGCAGCTGTGTCATATTGGGGGAAATTACTGAACACCTCTGTGCCGTAGGGTCCTCAAATGAGAAAGGAAGAGAATATTAGCACCTACCTTATAAAATGGCTGTGAGGAATACATCAATTGAGATTTGTTAAACCCTTAGAATGGCTCCCGGCATGGGCATTGCGGTCAGTGCTATCTACGCAGCTGATAATAGCAGCTCTTATCAGCTCCATTAATCCTCATCCTGATTTTAGGAGGGAGGCGCTAATGATCCCACCCCCAGGCTAGAAATGATGCCTCAGCAACTTGCTCAGGCAACTCCCCCAAGCTCATGCACCTAATATATGGTTGTATGCCTGAGTCTGTGCTCTCATTCTCCTCGCTCTAAGCTACCTGTCACGGGGCCACAAGGCCCTTCATGTTTTAGAACAACGGCAATTGAAGGCTTGTGTTTTTTTCCACATCACACAGAAGGATGTAGGAATTAGCAGCCCGGTAGGTTATCATCTTTGGGGGACATACAGAAGGAAAAACGAAGGAAATGAGAGAAAGAATGTTTTCCCCTCTGTATTCAGAGGCTTCAGAAGCCCATTCTTTTCCATACCTTGTTCAATTCTTTTTCATGATTTGGCTGATCTAGGGTCACTGAAAACAACTCTTTCCTTTTCCTTTCCGGTTCTTTAGCAGGTGAGTAAGATGATTCATGTCTACAGATTAAGATGAATAAAAAATGAAACTTTGCTGAGTAAACTGTTGTGATTATATTGTTAATTTAGACTACTGTAGGTTGCAGAGAGAGATTACTAGTTTATTGGAAAATTTTCAAGCTGCAGAAATTGCAAATGCTAATACATTCAGATCCCCTAAGTATTTACATATTTAAGTGAGTGCAAATGGTTTTAGTGAAAAAAAATAAAATAAAAGGTAGCAATTAATATAGAAATTCAGTTATACGTTGAAAATGGGCAGAATACTGGCTTTGCATATGTAGATACGATTTTTATATAAGAAAAGTGTTTTCTATAATAAAATGGCTTGGGAACCCCTTAAAAAAAGGGAACACATTTAACTTGCTTCTACATCGTGGAAAGGAACTATGTCAGGGGAAGTCTGAAGGGAGCAATGACTCCATAAAAGGGATCCAAAATGACTAAATCCGATAATCTGCCCAGAGAAAGCTCATAATTTCTTCTTTGGTTGCTTCATTTATAAAATGGAATTGCCAGCACATATGGATACCAGAGGGGAGAAGCAGAAACTAGTACAGAAAATACAATTTCCACAGGAAGTTTGGAGAAGTATAAACAGGTTCCCTGCTATATCAGGGAAGTTGGTAAATAAAAAAATCACTAAAAATCACTTGTACTCGCCAGGCAAGGAAAGTGGCATGCTTTCTATGGCTTGACTAATCTGGGGCAGTCTGGTGTTTTGAGGAACGTACCCATGTATGAGTGAGTACAATTTCGGATTTCCAAACAACTTCTTAAAAAGTTTCATAAATCAAAACCTTAAGCCACACAAACAAAACAAAATCTGTGTAATCACAGAGAAATAACTAATGTAAATGTTGAAAATAAAGGGATCTTTTTAAAAGGTATAAATTAATAGTGCTATCCCTGAGGTACTTACGTCTAGACCAGATTGCTTTTCTTCTGATAATCAAATAAATATGTTAACTGTAGAGAACAGAGTATATCAGAGTATATACTGCTATAATGTTATCATTGGGGGAAAAAGCATTGTTGGCATTTTTGTGAATACTGATTGTCTTTTGCCTATGCATGTGTGTATAAACATATACATATCTATAAATATATACATATGCATATATATGTATATGTGTATAAATGCTATCCATACAATTAGAATGTACTGCACACATTATTTTTCAGTCCCTTTTGTTTCCTACTCAGTAATCTATTGTGATTAATATTGTGAATCCAATATTCTCTTTAAACATTATTTCAGAATCAGTCTTAAATTTTTCTCATTTGCTATTATTTGAAAAGGGTAAGAAATGAAATTTCCTATTTTTCAATTCTTCCTAAGCAGTTTCAGGGAGTAGAATGCTGATCTGAATGAGGAGGGGGACCACATCGTGGTTGTGTAAATTTCAGAGTGACTAGAACACACACAGAACTTCAACGTGGACAAGTTCAAAGAAGAAGACAATAATCATGCTAATATAAATAGATACAGGAATTACCAGTTGTTGTGTAGAAAGGGAATGTTGGAATTATTTTTAATAACTCTCAGAACATATCAGCCCAAGGTGCTTCTGTAGCTCAAAAAAAGAAAAAGCTAACAAAATCTTGGCATTATTGAGAAAGGTTCTGACAATGAATAAAAGCATTCCTATGCTACTTCTATAAAACTATTGTGCATCTGCACTTAGAAGTCTGGGCTGCTTCACCTTAATACAACTGTAAAGAAGAAACAGAGTCCAAATAAAAGAAACCAAAACAATAAAGAGGCTAGAATCACACTGATATGAGAACAAACCAAAGGATTAGAAATTTCCAAAGGGAAAGAGGAAGGCTGAGAAGACTGCCCAGAGTCTAAAATACAATGGAAGTTGTGAAAAGTTAAATATCTATCTTTTCATCAAATCTCAGAATACCAGAATTGAGGAATACCCTCCAAATGAGAAAGGTGAAAGATCAAAATAAATATCAACTTAAATAGAGAATGGCATTAGGCACAACAAGAGATTTGTATTGGCCAAATATGCAAATAACTGCAAGATTTTAGATTAAATCAGGGGCGCCTGGGAAGATAAGTCGGTTAAGCGTCCGACTTGGCTCAGGTCATGATCTCACGGTTCGTGGGCTCAAGCCCCAAGTCGGGCTCTGTGCTGACAGCTAGCTCAGAGCCTGGAGCCTGCTTCAGATTCTGTGTCTCCCTCTATCTCTGACCCTCCCCTGCTCACACTGTCTCCCTCTCTCTCCCAGAAATAAATATAACATTAAAAACAATTTAAAAAAAGACTTTAGATTAAATCCTGTATTGAAGGAAAGTTGCAATGTCTGGAATTCAGTATGGGCCTTGTGAGACACCTCCGCAGAAAGTAACGACCGTGCTCTTCCATAGGACCAGAGCTAGGCAGGGGGTAAAAGGTTTGCTTTTCTAGGAAATTTCTTATGTTTTTAGGCATATGTATTGTGCAAAGACATTTCTCACCAACTCACCACACTGGAACAGTGCCTTGCACATTATATGTTTTCACTGGATTTATGGCCATTTATTTAATGGCCAGTGACAATAATATATCACTTGCATGTAGAACACTCCACAATGCTGCCTGGAGAATAGGCATTCTACTATCGTTGGTGAGACACACAATAGGTCATTTGTAGGAACCTTAATTTGCCATTTGCCGTAACGTAGAGCTCAAAAAAATGTGAGCAGGTCCCACTACTTTAAAGAAATAATTGTTGCCTTTGCAACAATGTAATCATCTTTCATTAAAATATCCCTTACCATTTGGTTAGTCAATTTTTAAAGTCCTATCATTGGCCTTGCATGAGCCTTCAGAGCTGAGGAGAATTCAAGTTCCAACGAGAATGAACATCAATGAATAGAACAGTCAAACTTTCTACTCACAAGTATGAATATTTAATAATCCTCAGCAGTCCCACTTCCTTTGTGGTTATGGAGTACACAGTATCTGTCTGATTTTAAAACAGGAAAAAAATCTGTTCTAACAAACCCTTAATGGAACTGACAAGGGAGTGAGTATGGAGACCAAAATAAATACGACATTTGCTAGTGAAGAAGTTAATAACAGGTTTGTAGGCAATCAAGATAAAAGCATTTGAAAATATGGACTACATCTTATTTAGCAATATATACAATTAAATATCAGCTCTATACTACTGCCTTTACACTCTCCTGAAAAATACAAGTTCTAAGAAAATTTGTGATGTACCGTGATACATAAGTATCCAGACACCAGAACATGATACATTTTTTCTAGGAAAGTGAATATATTAATTTTGAAGGTGAAATAATCACTGATCTTATTTTTCATATCTAATATTCCCCAATAAATAACGGCATGTAAATATAAAACAAATAGGCTTTTTAATCTAGCTTTAAATCTAAAGCTCTTAAAAATCTTCAAACATTATGCCTTAAACAGTTTCTCTCAGGGTTCTGAATATAAAGAATATACCTTTTCTTATTTTCGTGAGTATTTTGGCATTCTCCTATTTTTAATAATTCCCTGTGCAGCTGTAATCGTTCCATTTCTATAATTCTCAAGAGATCATCACGTGACTGTAACTCACTTTTCACTTCTGAGAGTCCTGCTTCCATGGCCTAAATAAAAACATCAAAAAGTATTCAACGTTCATCTCTGGATATCATGATGGGTAGTATATTTAAAAATGATTAACATCTATGAACCAGCCTAATTTCAAATGAACTAGTATTTAGTCCTTTTTCTAGTTCTTTGCTGGCTCTGTCTTACAGAATTTCATTCCTTCATTCATTTGTTCAATAAATATTTGCTGAGCCCTTATTACGTGCTCAACACTGGGGAGGATACTAAGACTCTTCTCAGGAAGCTTACAGTCTAGTCATAAAGAAAAGGCAAAGAATAATCAAATAGTCACGCAAATATGGTCACATTGTATGTAAATTTGAGAGAATCACAGAAGTACGAATAAACTATTAATGTGTAAAATTTGGATTAATGCAAATAATTCCCAATGTAAACAAGACAAGGGCCACCACCATGAGTTATAAACCATCTTTATGGTTCCTCTGTTGCCCAGTAGTAGCCCTACTTTATCTGGCAACTAGAAACACCAGCAGTCCTGTGAGCCCACTGTTTTATTTTGTTGACAAGAAGCTCGGGCAAGTTGAAAAGCTGTTGGGAAGGGTCCCCTCAGGAGAGAGGAGGTTTACCAGTAAGGTGTTGTTCTTGAGAAGTGGGTAGGGTAGGTCCCCAAGCACCAGTGGAAGAGCTGTGTACAGCAAAAGGAAAGAACGCAGGAAGATGGAATGTACAGCAGTATGTGTATCTGGATATGGAAAGATAAGACAGAGGCTCTCTGTTGGCTTCTCTTTTCCTTGGGAAGTAAAAAGGCAATGTCCCTGGAAGGAGAAGGGGAGGTCGGGATGTGGGAGTGATTTTTAAGAGTGGAGAAGGTTTGAAATGGCCTGCCACGGGAACAGGAGAATTAGCTGCGTGAAACAACAGAGTAGGAATTCTGGCAGTGTTGGGCATTCGCTTGAGATCTGTGATCCTGACCTGTTGAGACGGATTTTCTCCAGGAGTGCTTGGCTGTTCTCCGGGAGAGAGGAAAGGCAGAGTGCTTCTGTATCATTGGTTTTTGTTTTTTTTTTTTTTTACTTGCTTATATAGGAGAACTTATTAATTAAGTGAACCTGACTTAGGTCATCAAATCCACCAGCACTTTAGTAAATGAGGAAATTGAGGGCCAGACTTGGTCCAAAGTCACATAGCTAACAAGCAGCAGATTTTGGAAAAGAAGAATCCAGGTCTTTTGTCTACTTGTCCAGTTGCAACATTCAAGATGAGAAAATAATTTGTTTCAAGTAAAATAAGTGACATAGACCTGTAGCTTGCTGGTAAAGATGGGGGAGGGTGGGGCAGTAGGCGGGCAGGCGGGTCCTCTGCTAATGAAGGCTGCAGAGAACACTACAGATATGTTTAAAAAATCATTTGTTAATAAATTTTTATATACATCAATAACAGATTTATTCAAATATAATCCACATCCCATAAAATTCACCTATTTAAAGTGTACAATTCAGTGGATTTTAGTATATTCACAAAGTTGGGTGAGCATCACCACTAGTTCCAGAACATTTTCATCCTGACCAAAATAATCCCAATACCTTTAGTAGTTGCCTCCCATTTCTGCTCCCCGTCGCCCCTGGTAACCACTATGGTATGTTTTGTCTCTGTGAAATTACCTATTCCGGACATTTCACACAAATGGGGTCCCACAATATGTGGCCTTTGTGACTGGCTTCGTTCACTCAGCATAGTGCTTTCACGGTTTATCCGTGTTACAGCACGTATCGGTATTTCATTCCATTTTATTGATAAATACTATTTAATTGCAAGAATATACACATTTTATGTATTAATTCATCAGTTGATAGACATTTGATGTTTCTTCTTTTTGGCTATTATGAATAATATGCTATAAAATTTCATGCACAAGCTTTTGTGTGGACACAAGTTTTCTTATTCATTCTTATCCCAAAATTCACAGAGCCTAGAAATACAATTATGCAGACAGTATAGGACATAGGAGTTCCCAGCTAGACTTTTTTTTTTTAACCTAAGTCTTAAATTTGTATTATTTTCCAGGAGACCCAGAAACCTGCGTTCAGTGAAGGACCTAGTTGCAATACTGTAGCCCTGTAGACGTTCCTGACTGACCTGGAAATAAGAGTAAAAATATATTCAAGTGGGTGATTTAATAAACTTGTTTGGCTAAAGTCAAGGTTGCAAACAATGGGGATTTTTCAGAGGAGGTTAAAATTTCAAAAGGAACGAACAAAAGAAGTATGAAACAATAGATTAGCAAGTAGAAAAACAAATGAACTTGATGTGAATGTCATCCATTACTTTGCCCGATTGAAGTAGGTGCCATCTGGGCTCCCTGTCTTGCAAATTTGCCCCCAGAGCCTTCCAACTTGAAGCTGCTGGCAGACAGCTCGCTCTTTCTTTACTCGGGGAAGGAGAGCATAACAGGGCTGTAACTCCAGGCCAATGAAATACAAAGTCACCATGGGCTAGAGTTAATTAAAAGTCGTAAAATGTTTACTGTAATTGGAAAATAATACCTAGAAGAGTGATATTTGAAGATACCATATCCTAAGGGGGGAAAAAGCGTCTTTGTGATCTAGCTACACAGGTGAGAGAATTTATGTCAAAATTGAAACTTTTCATAATACAAATCAATAATAATGATTTGACACATTTTTCTGATATGAATGAATATGCAAAAGATTTTAATTATAGTTGGCGGCATTATGTAAACTAAAAGTACAAGAAAAGAGGCTTTGTTGATACTGATAAATTGAGAGTTGTTTTTTGATTTATGCAATAGCCCTTTGAATTCAACATTAATAATACTGAGTTGACACAGAATTAGTGAATTTATTTAACTTAGATGTAGTTGCCATGCTTTTGTATTAGTTAAATTATTTCTTTGTCAATGTGGAAGCAAATAATTAGGAAAATGATTCTTTGGTACTTGATACAGTTAATAGAACACTCTCAAGTTTGGAACAATTTAGGTATGTAAATCTGCTTTTTTAAAAAAGTAAACTCAGTCCTCCACGTGGGGCTCAAACTCACGGTCTCAAAATCAAGAGTCACATGCTCTACTGACTGAGCCAGCCAGATGCCCCTGTAAATCTACTTTTTAAACTATAAATCTTATGAAATCTAAACACATATCAAGTATTTCCATTGACTACTTGGCTTCCAAATTGAGATACATTGAAAGCATAAAATGCACACCAGATTTTGAAGAATTAGTATGAAAAGAAATGTAAAATATCTCATTATCTCAATAATTTTTACATTGATTAAATGTTGCAATGATAATGCTTTAGATATATGTTGAATAAATATAAAGAAAAGAAAAGAAACTACTATTATGGTTTAATTTCACCCATTTCTTATGACTTAATGTGGTTACTAAAAAAAATTAAATTATATCTGTGGCTTGCATTCTACTTCCACTGGACATTGTTGCTCTGGTACCATAAGGACACATTAACAAGTAAACAAAAAAAGGTCAGTTTTCTTTGGCACAGATATTAGAAAAATGCAGGACAATTTCTTTTTGTCATTAACCTCCAATAGGAAACACTGCACATTTTAAAAATGTGAGTGTAGTACAGCCTAGTAAATAAATATATGCAACAGAATTAATAAGTATACTGACACATTTCAAAGTTGTGGAAAGATAAGTGAGAAAATGTGATTCATGTAAAAATTCAGATACATCTGGCATTAAAGTATGCTGTAAATGAAAGAGAATTTTATATACAATAAGTGACAGTAATTCAAATTGAAATGGTTGCCTTTTTAAATTCATGTGCAAGATGTGGAGCATTGTCATATGACAGTTTGACAAAAAGAGAAGAGAAACTTCTTTCTGCACTGGTTAAGTGATTAGTTACCTCTAATTATTCCCATTTGGTAAAATATAAATTTTGCAAAACAAGTTTAAGGCCCATCTGTTTAGTTAGAACTTTGCCGAATGGTTTGAGAGAAGCAGTGATTCTTAAACAGTCAAATCAGCTACCAAATAGTAAATAATTGATCGCTTCTTATATAGTTGCTTTAAAGCGAAAGAAATACAGGTCCAATTGGGAAATAAAACAGGGAAAAGGCTCAATAAAAGCATTATTTTCAGCATTTTCCCTCCTAAATCCATCAAAAATAAGTTGTGTTTTTTTGGGAGTAGAGATCTGATCTGTTAGCTATCTTGTTTTTGAATCAAAATACTTCTCAAAGATCTTTTCATTAAAGCTTTAACATTTTTTTGTGTAAAAAATACTCCAGAATAATTTGGTCAGTTTTTTTTAAATACATATGGTTCTTTTATAAAATATAAAATGGAGATTATTAGTTTAAACTAAATAATGATCCTAGATCCAAAGATAACCAGATATATATATATTTTTTGGTGAACCAAAATCTGTAAAAATAACTTTGGCAAATTCTCTCATAGAAATTGGTAAATAAATAAAAAAATATCATATTAAAATAAAAGAATGAATACCATGTACAATGTGGGAGGATGGGGGAATGACGAGTTGCCCCAAGACAAAAAGAAAAAAAAAAAAAAAAAGACCCTGGGAGTTTAAGTGGCAGATCAGAGGAATATCTTAGAGCAGTGGAAGTGTGCTCAGACAGTGACCTCTAAAGTATATTTTAGCATGATAAAGGAACAAAGTGGGGCTAGGAATGGGCCAGATGAGATGGAAGAACTGGTATAAAAAGGCTGAATGCTTGTCGATGGGGGATAAAATGTGTCAAGCAACTGGGATATCCATGAATAAGAAATATATATTTAGTAAAGAAATTGGTATTGACCAATTTATAAATGCTGTATAACCTTAGTGATGCAGAAGAGTGAGTATGAGTGCGAGAATGAAAGGAAGGAAGGAAGGAAGGAAGGAAGGAAGGAAGGAAGGAAGGAAGGAAGGAAGGAAAGAAAAGGCAGGCAAGACTGTTGGGTTAAGAAGAAAATTAATTCTTGGAAAAATCAGCAATTGCATCTGCCAGTGTGGAGGTTACCTAAGAAACAAAACAAAACAAAACAACTCCAGGCTGCTTTTTGGTAAATGATTATGGTAAAGTGAACAGTGATAGATCACAGGGAGGACCTCCATGCTTCTTACTAGAATAATTAGATTGTTGAACCCTTACTGATTTCCTGGGTCTCCAACGAAAGATTCCTGCAAGTCAAAGGGGCACAGGGTCAGAGAGAGTAGTGGGGACACAGGGTGGCCTGTTACTAAAGGGCCCTGGGTGTTAGGCGTAGAGGTCTGTAAGTGAGCGCTGTTATACCGTCCTGGTAATGCATTATTGTTATACTGCAGCAGAACCAAAGTTCACTTAGGTAGGGTAGAGTATTTAAGGGATTACTGAATTTACTCAACAAGTGAGAATTACTTAGGCAGAGGAAATATGAAGTTACACATATAATAGAAAATTAGCTTTCTAATCCATATACCTGGTCACTCATCACTTATACAGCTCATGGGCAATATCAGTTGAGAAATAAATAATTACCTGGCACTGTCTTTGGTACGTTTTCAGTTCTTGTAAAAGCTTCTGATTTTCATCCTGTAACTTATTCCTGCTTAATGCTATTTCACTCACAGCTGATTTTAATTTTTCAATAATGAACTCATCTTTTTCACTGGCTTCACAGCCGTGATCCAGTTCACATATCGACTGAGGAACGTCTGAGCTGCTGTCTTCTATGCACTGTTTTTTACCATTTAGTTGAGTTTGGTAACTTTGTGCCTGTTTCTGAGAAAATGGAGACTGTCTCAATTAAATGGAGAATATCATATTTAAGCTTACATGAATAAAATTCAAGAATGATAGAAAACAGGAAAAATCTTTAAATAAGCCTATAATGAAGCTTTGCTCTTTGTAATTCAGCCTTGTGTTTTTTTCTAAAACCTCAATTTTGGATGACATAAAGAGAAAATATATTTGTATAACCTCAGAGTCAAGATGTAGAGTAGGGAGGGGGCTTGGGGTAGGGAAGTCTTATTAAGCAAGAGAGAATATTTTGAAGAGGAAAATTGTGGATGCGATTACACAATAGTTGAAAGTGTCTGTATGATGAAAAATAAACAAAATTAAACAAAAGCAGCTGGATTGTAGGAAAAAGCTTTCAACACATGTAACAGGGGTTAATAACTCTTAAGGTACAAAAACATCTACACATCAATATGAAAAAGAGAACACAAAAGGAAAATTGGCAAAGTTCATAAATAGGCAATATGCAGAAAAGGAAATGAAAAAGGCTTAAAAGGATATGAAGAGATGCTCAACCTTATAAGTAGTCAGAGAAATGCAAAAGAAATCAGGCCAATATTACTATCAGTCCAAGATGGTAAAAATCAAAAGACTGATAACATTCATTCCATGTTGGTGAAGGTATGGGTACTCCCATAGACTGCTCATGAATTGTACATTACTGTACTCTTTTGGGAGGTTATATGCTAGTGCTAATTTAAAAATCTGAATGGACATAATACCCTTTGGCTCAAGAATAATGTCTAGGATTTTTAACCTAACAAAGTAAAAGTACTATCATTTAAAGATATCTATCAAAGGATATTTTTACAGTATATAAGAGCAAAAAAACTAGAAACAACCTGAATGTTCATCAGTAAGGAAATGATTGAAAGAATTATGGTATGTCTACTATATACTATGATATATATATATGATAATATAAACCATATACTATCAAATATTATGCAGAACTAAGTAATTGACTTCAAAGAGTATCCATGAGGAAAGATAATTATTATTAAGTAAAACAAAATTTTAAAAAGGAAAAATACACAACTTCTCCCAAATGCATATTTTACATGTTTGTACCAACAAAACAAAAAGTATGGAAAAAAAAACACCTATTAAGTGTTTGTATTAAATGGATAAGAATGAAGTAGAAGCTATTAATTTTGCATTAGATTATTTTGTATTGGTAAATTCGGAGAACATAACAAACTTATATAATTCAAGTAACTTAAAGAATGAAAAATAAGAAACAAAACAAAAATCAAACAAAAACCATAGTTTCCAACTGGCTTTAATAAAAATTCCAAATTCCTCAGACAAGACTTTAAGGCTCATTATAACTCATCCAACTCACCAGCCTTACCATCTCCTACCCTTCCCCACCTTCCATACAGACTCCCAGCCAGTTGGCTCATTTTCTATACCCAGAATTTGCCTTTCGCTCTCTTGCTTCAGTGATTTTGCTCACGTTATTTCCACCACCCAAAACATATTCTCAAAATACTGTATATCTATTCTTCAAGGTCAAGGTCCAGTCCTGCCCCTGCTGAAGGGTATTTGCTCGCTATCTCAGCTCCAATTTTTCCCTTACTCCTCTGAACTCTAAAAGGATTTCCCATTCACTTGCCTTAAATTATCTGTATATATGTACGTTCTCTGTAACGTTCATCTGTAAATATGTAGATATGTTCTCTCTACCTCTAAGCTGTAGGTTCTTGAGGTCAGAGACCAAGCAATCTCAGATTTTCTAAGTGATCTGCCCATAGACATGCAAAAAAATATGTTACTTAATGACATTAACAATGGATACTTTTAAAATTTAAGTACCATCCTTTGAGACATGAGGACTAAATTCACCATTACAAATTTTCATGAACTTGTGATTTTACCCAGTGTTAGACCTGTTCTGGTTATTTTCCTCTGGTTGGCATTTCTCTCTGTAATAACATTATAAAGACAGTAATTGTTAACATCTAATTTTTTTCTAAGTTAGAGGATAGTATTAGACAATGTACCTGAAATTGATTACACTTCTCAGATAATAATTTTTGTTGAGCATCTAAAGAAACCAGATGAGTCTGATACAGTATCTCTTGCTTGTCCCATTCTCTTGACTTTGCTCTAAATTCCTTTTTAAAAAGTGGAGGCACAAACATAAGTTGAAGAGAATTATTCATTTAAAAGCACAACGAGTAAGGCTTCTTTCATTTGTACATTTTCATTCTAAAAAACCATATCCATTCTTTCTCCCCATTAGGAAACCAAACAAAAAGAGTATTAAATCATTCATCTTGGATTTATTACTAGACATAGCTTCTAATTTCTGTCACCAAACCTGTATCCTAGGTTTTGTTTGTTTGTTTGTTTTTATGGGGTGGGGCTTGGATTGATTTAGTGACTTTGTCCCCTTGTGGCTTTCAAAGCTGTTGTCCAAGATAAAGCCAAGATCAACTCATTCCTGGGAACAGATCATCTGTTTTAGGCCTCATTTAGGCAGTGCCCCCTTTTAAGTATATGATCATACCTGATGATAAACAGACTACATTTATTAATATAAATGGAAACAGGTCATTTAAAGTTATTGACTTTGGGGGTGCCTGGGTGGCTCAGTCGGTTAAGCATCTGACTTTGGCTCAGGTCATGATCTCACGGTTCGTGGGTTTGAGCGCCAAGTCGGGCTCTGTGTTGACAGCTCAGAGCCCAGAGCCTGCTTCAGATCCTGTGTCTCCCTCTCTCTCTCTGACCCTCCCCTGCTCACGCTGCCTCTCTCTCTCTCAGAAATAAATAAAAATATTAAAAAAAATTTTTTTTAAAGTTACTGACTTTGATCCCCACATTCAATAATTTAAAATTAGGTACATGAAAACAGGGTCTTCAGTAATAGTGACAAATTATAAAACTAGTCTCTAGTACAAAATAATATTTTAAAATTTTAAATATTTAAAAATTTAAAAAAGATTTAAAAATTTTTTAAATTCCTGTTTACTTTTAATTTAGAAAGGAGCCTTTGGGTCAGAAGTCAAAATGTGGGCGAGGTTGACTTACACTGTTCTTACCTTTCAGATATACTAATATTTAGCATTACCCACTCAACAATCTCAATCTTGAAAATAAGTATTTCCCAGCATGCTTTAAGAGGAGGCAGGAGCATTAATCTCAGTTCTTTATGAGTTCTACAACAAGTAGAAATGAGCTCAAGAATGAGGCCAAACAAGCTAGAAATATGTGTCATAGACACATCAGCATGTGCTCATAACAGTCCTGGCTTTCTTGATCTTCCAGATGTGTTGGTTTCAAGATTAGCAGGCCAGCACAATATACCCGGCAGCTCTGGGACCACACCTAGAGAGCTCTATGAAGATTTCTGTAGAGACTGGAGGTGACCTACTGGGTTCCAGAGGTCTATAGACTGGCCCAAACCTCCAGAGTAAGTTCTCCATGCTGGAAAAGCTTTTCTGGGTCTTCAAGGTTGAGAGAGTCAGGATCATTAAAATTAGAGTTTCTAGGGGAAGCTACATTATTATATACATGTTTTTAATCCTTTACTAAATAGTGGAAGATGGAACTAACATTTCTTTAGTGATTGGTATATGTCAGGGACTCTACAAACCTTTACCTGTAAGATGGGTTTAACTTTTTGGTATGAAAATTTTCATACTTGTATAAAAGTAGATATTAAAAAAACCTCCCATGTACCCTTCACCCAGTTTGACTATCATCAACTTAACCAACTTTATTCTGCCTGTCTCCACACTTTTTTGTTGAGTACTTTAGGCCAACTTCCAGACCTCATGTATTTTCACCCCTAAATGTTTCAGTGTCACCCCTAAATGTTTCAGTGTGCATTTAAATGTGTGTGTGTGTGTGTGTGTGTGTGTTTCTTCCATAACCACAATGTCACCTATAAGGTATTTTTAACCCCATTTATTGGTGAAAAAAAAATGAAATCTCTGTGAGGCTAACAACCTGTGTAAAGGTCACAGGGCAAATAAATGGCAGTGCCAGCTGAGCTAACCTGAGGAAGACATGGCAGAACTAGCTTGATACAACATGCTCAGTGCTTAAACTTTTTGTTTAAGTAGTATATTCACGGAACGTGACTGTTCACAATTTAACACAAGGAAAGGATACGGCTTTGGGAATCAATCAGTCAAGAAGTTAAGAAGTGTTTCAAATTATAAACTGTTATATTCTTCCACAACGACATGCTCTTTCTCTTACTAGACCAGTGAATAAATATTTGTCCCAAAAGACAAACATGCTTAGTTATAGACTAAAACTGGACCAACAGCCCATCTCTTACATATTAATTTTTCATATGGCTCCAAGTAAAACCAGGTACATGAAGTGCTTCCATAATTATTCAGATTAAACTACCTACAGAGTGTGCTTAAAACATTTTATAGAAATACAAACATAGGTCATTATTTTGCTACTAATTTCATCTATAAATTAATGAAATATATTTTATATAAAAATGGAGTTCCCTAAATGTAAAAGTGTTCACACAAAGTACTTCGTATTAATTTCAGGCCTTTTTTTTTTTTTTTGGTCTGTTTGGTCTGAACAGTTTATATGAATGTGGTTCTCCCATAAAATCCCCTAAGAAGTCAACCAGAAGGCTAACCAGTGACTCAATCTCTGCATTCTCAGGGAAAGCTTATGTATTACAGGGCACGTCTTTAGGCATCTTCCATGAAACCAGGATCTTTCCAAGCCAGTCTGATCACAGCACCGTGACCAGCAGGTGGTTACACATGGTACATTTTCCTGTAGAGTCAATTTTACATATTGTAATTTTGTATTTTAAAAAAACCCTGTACATTATTCAGCAGAATGTAAAATTTATAGGAATTTAAAGCTAAAACGCAAGCCTTTCAGCAAAGTTCTCACAATAGGCTGGTTTTTAGGGCTGTGATTTTAGATTTGTTTTCTTTTAAAGATATTTTGAAGGGAAAATTTGAGAAGGATTGTTAATTGCAGAATAAAATGATGAAAATGAAACAGAACAATGACAATAGACAAGAGGAAAGAGATAAGAAGCATTAGAACAGGGAAAGGGGCAAACCTGGGCTGGAATATGGGGAGTATGAGAAAGGAACAGATCAAAGATTCTTAGGTATCCACCTGGGTGACTGGGGGATACCAACTATTATCTTCCAGTGAGGTGGAAGAAAGAGAGATCGTTGACTGGGGATGGGGTGGTGGTACTGGGATTTAGGGCCAGCACCCTAAATAAGTAAAAGAATAAAAGAAGAAACGGAGTGGGTTAACATGATAAGGGTCAACTTGAGGCCACTTAAACAATAACGGAGCAACACTCAGAACTCCGCTAAGGTTAGAGAAAGGAATTTATAGTAGAGCCTATCTGTTACATGACCTCTAGCAGAAATGCTCAAAAGCACAAGGAAGAAAAATAGCTGGTTTGCTTTTTCCAAGGTTGGGAAGTTAAGGGGATAAAAATAAGTGCATTCATGACACAGCAAACCATTTTAGGAACAGAGAGTGTCGACGTTCTGGGTGGTACGTGGTGGTTATCTTGGAGTGGCACTACCTCTTTAAAGAAAAAAACCCCTGAAACTTCGACCCTGTTCTGAAAACCAGTACGAGGCTTCATTGGGGTTTAAGTGCCTAATAGTTAAATAGCCATTAAGAGATTTATTAGATATTCAATTTAACTGACCCCAGGGATGTCCTTCAATTTCACTCAACATCTGCAGTTTCTTTGAACTTTTTTTTTTGGCTCTCCAAAAATGCTGATCTGTATGAAAGATGCATAAATCAAAGTGATGTTTTAATTCGCTAAGTGCCTAAAGGGAAGGTGCGCTAAGAAAATATATTCAATGAGAAGTTGATCTGGAATGGGGTTTGTCACCGCACCCGTACATACCATTGTGTACAGCAGAGACAAACAGCCCACGACAACAGCAATCAATCTTTATGATGCAGGAGGGAACTAAGAAAACACATTTAGCTCACCTCTAACTTCTGGTTCAAACTGCTCAGTTCAAAGGGTATTTCTTCTTTTGGGTGCAGCAATTCCTTTCGCCGAACTTTACTTTGTTTCATCTGGTGCAGTCTCAGTTTCTCAAAGCTATTTGTCAGTTTGGAAAACTGTATATAATAGAGAATGCTCACATTTTACTATTACTGGTGCTTCTGACTTGATTTCACGGGAGTTTTTTCTTGGGTATTTCTTTGAAAATTTAAGTCATGTTTAGAAAACGTGGTAGGGGCACCTGGGTGGCTCAGTAGGTTAAGCCTCCGATTTTGGCCAGGTCATGATCTCATGGTTCCTGGGTTAGAGCCTCGCATCGGGCTCTGTGCTGACTGCTAGCTCAGAGCCTGGAGCCTGCTTCTGATTCTGTGTCTCCCTCTCTCTCTGACCCTCCCCTGCTCATGCTGTCTCTCTTTCAGAAATAAATAAAACATTAAATAAAAAATAGAAAACGTGGTAATGCTTCAATGTTCTGATTACTGAAGACAGAACCAGTTATTAAAACTGATTATTGAAGCTGAGCACAATTCAGTTTTCATGTATATCTGGCACCTGACGAACTGCACAGTTAAATGATTCACTTCATAAATGTTTTATTTAGTTCTGTTTTAATTTGTGTAGGAAAGCTCACAAGTTTCAAAAACCAAGTTTTTTCTTTTACTTAGTGCCATCTTGTGTTGACAATTTTAATTTCAGTAACCCCAAGTATAACCAGTGTCTATTTTAGTCAAGAAAATTGAATACTTAATTTAAAAGAAACAAACAGCACAAATTTATTCAAACTTGTGTCAACCCTAATAAGTAGGGTTGTGCTGTTTGAATAAATTTAAGTATCAAATTGATATCATCTTTTTCTTACCAATAAGAAAGAAAAACTTAGACTCTGGACTATTTTGTCTGTTTCTTGTTATACCTTCAAACAATAAATTAAAAGCAGCATGGTCCAACAACATCTGTGAAGAAATGTCTATATAACTGTTTTTAAGAGTTTTTTGGCTTCATTTTATTTTTTTTTAATTTTTATTTTTTAATGTTTTATTTATTTCTAGGAGAGAGAGAGAGAGAGAGAGAGAGACAGCGTGAGCAGGGGAGGGTCAGAGAGAGAGGGAGTCACAGACTCTGAAACAAGCTCCAGGCTCTGAGCTGGCAGTCAGCACAGAGCCCGACGCGGGGCTCGAACCCACGAACCGCGAGATCATGACCCAAGCGAAAGTCGGACGCTTAACCGACTAAGCCACCCAGGCGCCCCACCATGTATTTATTTTAGAGAGAAAGAGTGTGAGCAGGGGAGGGACAGATAGAGAGGGGGATAAAGAATCTAAACCGGGGTCAGCTCACTGGGGTGAGCCCCAATGTGGGGCTCGATCTCACGAACTGTNGGGGCTCGAACCCACGAACCGCGAGATCATGACCTAAGCGAAAGTCGGACACTTAACCGACTAAGCCACCCAGGCGCCCCTTGGCTTCATTTTAAATTTTGAAACAATTAAAGATTCACAGGAAGTTGCAAAGATATTAAAGAGAGGTCCTCCTGCCCCAGTGTTTTCCAATAACGACATCTTGTTCAAGTGCAGTACATGAGTACACTCAGGAAGCTGACATTGGTACAATACACGTGTATAGTTTTATGCCGTCTCATCACACATGTAGATTTGTGCGACCACAACCTTGATCAAGACACAGAGCCACTCCATCGGCACAAAGACCTTCCTGCCTTTTGTAGTGATGCTCGTCGTCCCATCCCTAATCCCTGGCAACCACTAATTTGTTTCCATCTCTACAATTTTGTCATTTGAGAATGTTATAAAACAGAATCAAACAGTATCTGAATTTTGAGACTGGCTTTTTTCAGTCAGCATAATGGCCTGGAGATACACGTGCATATCAGTAGTCCATTCCTGTTTACTGCTCAGTGTTACTCCGTGCTACAGGGAGAGCCAATGTTTGCTTGACCATTCACATATTGAGACATTTTGGATGTTTCCAGTTTTGGGCTATCACAAATAAAGCTAGGAACAATTGTGTCTACTTTATCTGATACTCACATAGTCACAATTGCTTCCTTTTTCTTTCCAGTCCCTGGAAACTACTAATCTGATTGCTGTCTCTTTAGGTATGCCTATTCTGATCATTGCATATTAATGGAATCACATGTTATGTGGTCTTTTGTGCCTGGCTTCTTTTCCTTAGCATAATGCTTTCAAGGTTCTATGTTGTAGCATGGATCAAAACTCAATTTTATTTTTATGGCCGAATAGTATTCCATTGCATGGATATGCCACATTTCATTTATCCATTCCTCTATTGAAGGACATGTGGGTTCTTTCTACTTTTTGTATATTACATATAATTCTGCTATGAACATTTGTGTACATGTTTTTGTGTGGATATATATGTATACATTTGTTACTCTTGGGTATATAACTAGGAGTGGAATTGTTGGGTCATATGGAAACTCTTGGTTTAACTTTTTAAGGCACTGTCAAACTGTTTTCCAAAGTGACTGTGCCATTTCCCATTACTACTGGCAATGTATGGGGTTCTAATTTCCCCATATTCTTGCTGACACTTGTTATTGTCCATCTTTTTTATTATAGCCATTCTTGTCAGTGTGAATGGGTATCTCATGATTTGATGTGCATTTCCTTAATGACTCATAAGGTTAAGCATTCTTTCATGTGATTATTGGACACCTGTATACCTTCTTTGGGAAGATGTCTATTGATATTATTGCCCATTTTAAAGTTAGGTCATTTACTTTTTGTTACTGACTAGTATGAGTTATTTTTTAATTCTGGATACCAGTCCTTTATCAGATATATGATTTGTAAATATTTTCTCTCACTTTGTGAATTGTCCTTTCACTTTCTTGATGGCATCCTTTGAAGGACAAGGTTTTTTAATTTTGGTGAAGTCTAATTCATCTAACTTTTCTTGTGCTTTTGGTGCCAAATCTAAGAAATTATTGCCTAATCCAAAGTCATGAAAATCTACTACCTTGTTTTTTTTCCTGAGGTTTTATGGATTTAGTTTTCACATTTAGGTCTTTGATCTGTTTTGAGTTAATTTTTGTCTATGGTTTAGGTCTAACTTAATTCTTTTACATGTGGGGATTCAGTTGTCCCTTTACTGTTTGTTGAAAAGACTCTTCTTTCTCTGCTGAATTATCTTGGCACTACTTCTGCTTTCATTTGATTAATATTTGCATGGTATTTTTTCCTACCTTTTTACTTTCAACTGATATATACAGCTATATCTGAAGTGAGTTTCTGGAACACAACATAGATTTGGGTCATACTTTCTGAATTTAATCTGTCAATTTCCTTCTTTTAATTGATGTATTTAGGCAATTTCCATTTAATGTAATTATGATATATCAGAGCTGAAGCCTTACTTTTTTGTTGTTGTTGGGTTTTTTTCCTTCTGTTTTCCAGTTTTTGGTTTTACCCTTTTAGTTTTTTTGTCTTCAGGGTCATTAGAGCATTATTTAGAATTCCATTTTGGTTTATCTATAGTGCTTTTGAATGTATCTGTTTGAATAGCTTTCTCAGTTGTTGCTCTAAGTATTATACTATATGTACACAACTCACTACAGTCTGCTCGTGTCAACATTTTACCAGCCCAAGTGAAATGCAGAAGTCTTACTTTGCTTTACGTCCCTTTGCCCTGACTCGTTTATAACATTATTGTCTTAAGTGTTTCCTCAACATACATTAAGAACCACACTAGACACTGGACACCGCTATAATTTTTGCTTTAGCTTTAAAACAATTTAGACAACTCAAGGGAAGGAAAGCAGTATGTTTATCCATTTCTTAACTCTTTCCATTGTTTTTTCTTTCTTCCTAATGTCTCTAGATTCTTTTGTCATCATTTCCTTTCTGCTAAATGAACTTTCTTTAGCCATTCTTTGAAGGTAGGCTTACTGTTTCAAATTCTCATAGTTATCTTTCATTCAAGAAGGACTTGATTTTCCCTTCATTCCTAAGGATATTTTCTCCTGGTATAGAATTTTAGGTTGACATTTATGTTCTTTCATTAACTGAAAAATATTCCACTTCCTCCAGCCTCCATGGTTTCTAATGAGAAGTCTGTTACCTGACTTGATTTTTCCCTGTAGGAAAGGTGTTATTTCTCTCTTGATGCTTCTGAGATCTTTTTCTTTGTTTTTTAGTTTTTAGAACTTTGTGTATGGTGTGTCTTGGTGTAGATTTCTTTGTGTTCATCCTGTTTGAATTTCATCCAGATTCTTGAATCTGTAGGTTTACATCTTTTGCCAAGTTTTTGGCCGTTACTTCTTTGAATACTTTTTCAATTCTGCCCTCCTTTCCTGGGACTCTGATGACACAAATTTCCAATCTTTAGTTACAGTACATGTCCCTTAGTTTCATTTTCTTTTAGCCTATTTTCTCTCTGTTGTTCAGTTCAGGTAATTTCTATTCTGCTATCTTCAAGTTCACTGACTATTTCCTTCATCCTCTCCATTTTACTTTTGAGCCCATCCATTGATTTTTTTTTTAGTTTAGTTATTGTATTTTTCAGAGATAGAACTTCTAACTGGTTGTTATTTACAGTTTTTCTTTGCTAAAACTTTCAAGTATGTTTGTAATTGGTCTCTGAGAAACTTTATCTGACAAAGATTTTTTAAAAAAAAGATGTTTTAAAAATCTTTGTCAGATAATTCTAACATCTGTATTAACTCAGTGTTGGCTTCTCTCAGTTGTCTTTTCTCATTCAAGTTGAGATCTTTCTGGTTCTAGGTGTGATGAGTGATTTTTTTATTGAAATTTGGACATTTTGGGTACTGTGTTATGAGACACTAGATTTTCTCTAGGGATTGTAGTTCAGCCATCCTTTTCTGACAGCATTCAAGCAGGGAAAGTGGGACACTGCCACATCACTGCCAGGGGCAGTGGGAGTCCAGGTCATGGCCTTAGCTGGTAACCTGAGACATTCCTTATCACTGCTGAGGAGGAGTGGGAGTCTTTGCTGATACCACCCTGACTGGAGAGGCATAGATGCCTTGTTACTGCTTCTTACATGGCCTTCAGTGAAACTGTAGTGAGGGTGAGTGGTCTCATTACCACTGAGAGTCAGTGAACATCCTGACTCCTAATTAGGCTTTCCTTGATACCACCGGGGTGGGGCGTGGGGAGTGCCTCACCACCATCAAATGAGCATACTAGTCCAGACTCTCCGTATGGCCCCCACTGATACCATGGGTTGGGGAGGGCTTTTAACACCTAGTGGTGACAAAAGTGCTGGCTCACCACTCAAGTCTTCTCTACCGCCAGTCAGGCTGGGGAGCTGGGGAAACCTCCTGAAAGGTTGATGAGGGTAAAATCCAAGGCTATCTACTCAGTCCGTGCTAGTGGGATGGGTTCGGAGCTGAAGTTTTTTTCTGTAGTGTTGGGCTGGAGTAGAGCAGTTATTATCTAAAAGTGTGTAATCTTCGTAGGCTGCCTTTCCCAGGTCTTTTGGCTGCAGAGAGCAGACATTCCTTGGGATTCTTTTTATTTGTTTGTGTCCCTTGTAGTGTCTGGGTTGTTAGTGTCTCTGTTACCCAGACTGGGATATGAGGGGCAAAAAGCAATCCCAGGGAACTCACCACCATGTTGCTTTTTGGGTACTCATGTTCTAGTTGGCATGCCTCTTTTCTCCACTTCTCAGAATCTTCTTATGTGATTTTATAAATGATGTCCAGGCTTTCTAGTTTTATTTGGCAGGGTCTAAATGAATCTACTCCATGTTTCCAGAAGTGAAAATCTCAAATATATCCACAATTTAATCATAGTTTCATTAAGGTTAGAAGGAAAAGAAAATAACCTCTTTTTAAAAAGGAAGCAATTTCTATGAGAAAGTTTTGATGGAATTGAGTTATTCAGGGAAGAGTGTGGTAAAGTGTATCTTTAAACTATTTTAGTAAAATGAAATTGAAAATAAACCAGGAATATCAAAGAAGAAATCAGTAGAGTGAGCTAGCAGCAACCAAATCATGTTGGCCACAAGATACCATTTTCTGGTTAGAAAAATGACATATTACTAGCCATTATGCAAAACAATTCAAGTACATGGCACTTTCCTTTCTCTCTCTTTTACCTTCTCCCCTTTTTCCTTCTCTTTTGCTCTCCTTCCCTAGTGCTCTTAACTTTCTTTTAACATGAGAAGAAAAGAGAAGCATTAAACTGCAGTGGAAGCAGATGGCTGCTCTCTCAACAACAATGTAGTGTTTCCAAAGTGTATTCTAGGAGACACCTGTTTACAGTGTTTACACTGTAAGACTGTACTACAGTAAAGTCAGTTTTAGCTTGAAAAATAAAGAGTTCCATGGTCAAATATGTTTTGAAAAATGATGGATTAAAAAGGCTAAATGGATTTGTTGAATATGCACTGTGAATGTCCAGGAGCAAAGAAGAGGTAAACAGCATTTCCTAAACTCTTATATTAGCAATCCACAGATTTTTGTGAAATCACCATAGGGATATTTGTTGGTTAGCCAGCAGCCAAGTCATAAAATAGAACTGCAAAGCATCAAATAGCAAGGATTCGTATGTTGAATGACTGCTCAGCACCTGTAAACAAGGTTCAAAACTTTTTAACAACAGACATGAAAAAACGTATGTATTAAAATTTGGGAAGCAGTGACTGAACCAATTAAATATAATTTAGAGATATCTTCACTTGTATCTCAATTTCTGTATTTTTTCAAACTTATTTTAGATCGTGGCCTCTCTGTTTATATTGAACTATAGTGATTCAATATATATGTTGGTATTTTAAAGCTTTATCTTTATGGAAAAAGAAGGTTGATTGACTTAAATGTTAAATGCTTAGAGTCTTAGCTAGGGAAAACCATTTGGTTTCATAATTCAAGCTACCATCTAGTGGCCGCTATGTAAATTGCAGGCAAAATGTCTAGACTTAATAGTCTTCTAAGATTATACTGTACTTATTAAGTGGCATCATATTTTTCATATTCTTAATGGCTGATGGCCTCCCTGAGAAGGTATTTAAGAAAGAATTAACTACCTTAGGCTCATTTTATTACATTATCACTTATAAAATCTTTGCACTCCAAAAATTTCATAATGAAACAGTATTTCCCACTGATTAATTTACTTAGTTAAGCAAGTATCTACTAGATCTGAGGTGCACAGGTGATTACTGCCCTGTGTGTTATCTGTGGTAAGGGAGAGAAGGCTTTTTGCTTGCCTTCACAGTGAGGTGATACAGGGATACATATGAAAGAAATTAACACCCCAATGCAGAAGACCTGCCATTTATGCAACAGTTCCACCACTAGCAAGTTATAAAGACCAGTTTTGTCCTTTCAATCATCTATATCATAATAGCAAATTTATCTTTTGTTCACATAGCTAATTATTATCATATAGTAGAGAGGCATCAGTCTTGCACCATGCTAACAGTTAAAGGGATGAAGAGCTGACAGTCTAACAAAAATGGCAATCTAATAAAACAATGAAAGACAGGGTCAAACATATAACCTGTAGTTAAAATAAAAGAACTATACTTATATTAAAAATAACCCATTTATATAAAATTATTACAAATTATAAAAAAGTAACTTTCATACAATTTTATATGTTAAAACATATATCAAAATGTGTTAAATTATTATATGAAATTAAATTACAATAGTTTTCCTTACTTGAGCTTTTAGGGTTTGTAGTTGTCCTTCGTAATTCTGAGTCATTGCTAAATTACATTTTTCCAGACTGTCCACCTTCTGTCTAAGTAACCCCACCTGCATCAAGAATAACATTTAATTTTGATTTTTCTAAATTTTGCCAGACAACATCAGAAACTGTGCAAAAGAGGAGTACAATGTAAATAAAACAGCTGCACCAAAAAAAAGAGTAAATATTTGTACTGCAGTTCTTAAACTAGCTATTAATAATTAAAGTCACAAAACCAAACACTGCTAGCACTATTCCTTTGGGCACACATTAGGACAGTACACTATGGATGTCTGACAAAAGATCCTTATCATCATCACATTTTAAATTAAGGTTTAAAATGCACTTTGCATTATCTTTTCAGGGGGCTATGTCATCATTACTCAGGCAGAACTTCAACAGGTACACTTTAGCTTTTAGTTTTGGTCCCACTGCCTTCAGTGGGAGCTCTGCTCGGGCAGGACCATGGAGCAACAGTTACATTTTCATAGGAAAGAAAGGAATAATATCTAAGAGCAGTTCTTAGGGGTTTGGCTTACAGCACTTGTCTGCTTATAAAGCAGGTGAGGCACCTGTGATGACCTGCCTCTACTATGGAGGAAACCAGATGCCAATAACTAAGTTAACTGTGCCGCATGAGAACTCAGTTAACTTAATGTTAAAATCTAAGTTCTATCGGGAGGCAAATAAAGGTAGAGAAATGACTGATGAACAAGTTGACTGATGATGTTTTAGTATATGATTAATGTAAACACCTTCTCTTATGTCTCACCCAAAAGAAAAATTCACAGACACAATAGTCCACGCTAAAGCCTATGGTTTTCGTGAACTCCGTTGGAAGCCCGAGAGCATTTAGACACTCTACAACCACCACCATGACTGTAAGCAGCCTTACAGGGGCTGCCGGCGCCCCTCTTATGAGGGTGCCCGGATATACACATACACCCCCTTCACCAAAAACTTTTCTCCCTTATCCTACAATCATGTTTTGCCAATTCACTTCTCTCAGGAAATATTCTTCTAGTAGATTAGAAAAGGCTCTTGAACTCTGCCACATCCAAAGACGCGGTTTTTGGACAACTGCTTTGTTTCTACACCTACAAAAGCACTCGTTGCTCGCAAACCATATTTATTTCACATATATTTTGAATGTCTGTTTACTTTTCTAGATGGCACTGACATTTTATATTTGTTCGCATCAGCAAGTTTTGATGGGTTTAGGATCTGATTGTCACTTACTTGATAGAACACATTTAGCACGCTATGATAGAGTTTTAAACAATAATAAATGCCACTGCTGATGCCTGATAAAAAGAATACATAATGAAAAATATATTCTGATGGAATAAATATTATTTATAACAGTCTGAGGAATGGACATTTTATTTACACATATACTCAGTACCTCTTGACCTTTCTGATCCAAACAAGTTTGTGCATTTGCCAACTCTTGATCCCGAAGATCTAATCGTGTCTCCAAAGCCCGCATCTTCCTTTCCCAGTCCAACTTTTTGTTGCTTACCATGATGTCAATTTGTTCCATTAATTCCTGAAGTTCGGCCTCACAAGGAGAAGCTCTGGCAATTGTTGAAAAGCAAAACACATTTTAAAAGAGTGAAATGTGAGGACAGGAAAAATTATTCCATTGCTCTGAACAGCTTGATCAATTATTTCCTCAAATTGTTCAATTATTTAAACAGGAAGAAGTCTGAAAGCTGGGGGATAAATTTTATATTAAAACTAAGAGCTAATTTCAGTGAATACACATTTTTTAAAATGACATTTTCTAAAGTATAGTTGCTGTCATAACATAATGCTAAAGTTCTTAGCGTAGGTGGTAGTGCATGGGTCTCCCAGAGCCAAAAGTTTTGACTTAGACAAGGGAGTCCTAAAATGAAAACACATCATGTGGATTATGCCAGAAATAAGATCACAATGAGAAAGTTAGCTAAAAGAATAAAATTAAATAAAATAACATTTTTAGAGTGGGTTGATTCTATGGCAAATCCTAATTATGAAAAATGGCTCAATGATCTACGTGTAAATATACACGTACCTCTGTCTATCATTAACTTGAGTAAATGTGACGGCAGACAAACTGGGACTTCAAGCATACCTATCTGAGATAGAAGGGCAACCCCAGGCAAAGTAGGACCAGATTCAAGGATACTAACTGGGCTGCAGTGATACTCCTCTAGGAGGGGAACCTGGCATGATCTAGCTGGTATCCCTTTGGAAGGAATCTGATCAGGCAGGTGTGGGCAGAGTAATATAAGTCTTTAGATAATGAGGATACTATTAGTCAGATGGGGGGCAATATCTTGGGTCTTAGAGGGTCTTTATTTATTTATTTATTTATTTATTTTTACAAATAGTTTATTGTCAAGTTGGTTTCCATATAACACCCAGTGCTCATCCCCACAAGTGCTCTCCTCCATGCCCATCTCCCCCCTCGCCCCCCCCACACCCATCAGTCCTCAGTTTGTTCTCAGCACTCAAGAGTCTCTCATGGTTTGCCTCTCTCCCTCTCCCCCACTATTTCCCCCCTTCTTCTCCCCCATGGTCCTCTGTTAAGTTCCTCCTAATCCTCCAATACGTGCAAACATATGATATTTGTCCTTCTCTGCCTGACTTATTTCACTCAGCATAACACCCTCAAGGTCCATCCATGTTGCTACACATGGCCAGATTTCATTCTTTCTCATTGCCATGGAGTATTCCATCGTATAGATAAACCACATCTTCTTGATCCATTTGTCTGTTGATGGACACTTGGGCTCTTTCCATGTTTTGGCTATTGTTGAGAGTGCTGCTATGAACACTGGGGTACATGTGCTCCTATGCATCAGCACTCCTATATCCCTTGGGTAAATTCCTAGCAGTGCTATTGCTGGGTCATAGGGGAGTTCTATTGTTAATTTTTTGAGGAATCTCCACACTGTTTTCCAGAGGGGATGCACCAGTTTTCATACCCACCAACAGTGTAGGAGGGTGCCCGTTTCTCCACATCCTCGCCAGCATCTAGAGTCCTCTGATTTGCTCATTTTAGTCACTCTGACTGGCATGAGGTGGTATCTCAGTGTGGTTTTGATTTGTATTTCATAGAGGGTCTATATTGAAACAAAATCATTGGTAAGAGCTAGATTTATGGAGATGCCAACTGTGCTTCTAGGGCAGGGTTCTCCTTCAAAGAAGCTGAAACATCCCACAGGGATCTGGTATAAGTCCAGTCATTCAGACTAGACATGCAGGTAGACTGCTGGAGCCCCAGATTTTAGCCTAAGGAACACACAAATGTCCAGATTAGAAAGCAAGTTATTTCAGCATCCATTCAATGGTGGTGATGAGGCCTCTAATATATTTGTGTAGGCTGGAGGAAAGCATTTTTCTCCACTTAGTTTCAGCAAATCAGAATTTTAGAGGTCATTTAGCACTTTGAAAAACTCGGGCTTGGAGAGGTCAAGGTCACACATCAATTAGTAGAATAGTCAGATTTAGATCCTAGGCAACTGCTTCCCATTGTAAGCTCCTTGCTGTGCACCACACAGCAAAATGCATGATGCTTTTAAAAAAAATTTGTAATGTTTTTCAGAGACAGAGAGAGACAGAGTATGAGTGGGGAAAGGGCAGAGGGAGGAGAGACACAGAATTCGAGGCAGGTTCCAGGCTCTGAGCTGTCAGCACAGAGCCCAATGTGGGGCTCAAACTCACAAACCGTGAGACCATGACCTGAGCCAAAGTCAGACACTTAACCGACTGAGCCACCCAGGCGCCTCACATGTGCTTTGAATAAGAACTTGCTTGAAACATATAGCATAAATTAGTTCCATTGCAATAGGGTTAGAAACAGGTATTAGAACCCAAAGAACTAAGAGTTTCCTGAATCACTTTTCTAAAATGCCCAGTCAACCTGAACATGGGATATCACTTTGATTGATCTATTCAACAGCAAATTCACCAGTTTTGACATCAGAGAGCTTTTAAGTACAAAGTACCATTCTAAAGTCTTCTAGAATTCCTGGACTAAGGCCCAAAGGCTCTCCCACTTTTACTTAAAACCTAACACAAAACTGAGGAAAGGAAGTACTGATTCCTCTATAAGAAAGTTGATGGGATTTTAATTGGAGTTATGATGTGGGGAAAAACAACAGAATGAAAACTTTTCACACTGTTTTATTTTCATAACAACATGTATCACCTTTTATTATAAATACAATCTGTTTTTTTCTGCTATTGTGAGCTCTGAAAGCAAAAGGGCTGTATCAGTCCTTCTCATCACCATCTCCCTGGAGCTTAGCACAGTGCTCCAGTGCACAGCAGATACTCAATAAAGTTTTGAAAAATGAACAAGTGAACTCTTCTCTTCACTATCTCCTTGACAGGTAGGGCTGCACCACGCTGATGGAATTGAAATGTAGGCTGAAGCAGAGTGGCTGAAAGAAAGTAATGTAAGCTGCTCATCGATATTGTTAAATAAATGAGTGAAAGGTTTCTTTCTTGATTATGACTATGCTGTACAATTAGGATATTAGACTCAAGGTGAAGGGAGTTTTACAACTACCATCCAGTGTTTGCAAACTTTTCACAGTCTTAAGAGCATCTTCTATGATGCCCCACTGGTCAGATTCAGGAGGTTTACAACTGAGCCCGAGATTCTGCATCGCTGACACAGATATGAAGCGATTCTGGTGCAAGCTAGGGTTTGTGATCTGTTTTGCAATATCACTGCCAAGAGGTCATCCAGCCTCGATCTGAATTTTTCCTTGACCAGGTCACCACGGTCTGAGATTGCATCTAGATAGCAATGAGTTCTTTAAAGTTCTTTCTTATATCAAAGAGCTTTTACATCCACTTCTAATTTGATCCACCAGAACCATACAGAACAAATGGCTTTTCAACATAGTAGGCTAACTGTACTTGAATATAATTATCAATATGTCAAATACAGCTCCCGGTGTACCTCTGGGTTCTTCCAAGTTTTCTCAGCATTCGATAGTAGATACTGAACATTCAGAGAATGGCCAGAACCTACGATAACAGGCTCTCACCCACAACCTCTACAGGAGCAGTCCTAGAATTGTCAGGACTTGGTCAATGACTGACAGCTGCCTTAATTTTTCCCCCTACTTCCAACTCAGGACCAACTGGTGAAAACCAAACATGCTCTCCAAACCGATCACACAGGATGCCCCGCTTCTACTAATCCTGCCTCCAGTTTCCCTGTGCCAACCACCTGCATATAAGGAGACCATACGTGAAGCCTTCTCTTTTGTTCATTGTGAAGCTTTCCCACCTTGCCGTCGAGTCTCTGCCGGACGCAAGTGCTGGTTGCTGACTTCCTTGCTATAGCAACTTTTCAATAAATAGGCTTCAGTTGTTCTCACTTGGGTAGTCTTTATTTCCACAAGTATCTTTATTTCCTTCAATCGCTCCTAGAGATTTCTTTTTTCTCCACCACTCACTACCTAGTGTACTACCTAGAGAATACAAGACGCTTAACATACATTTGTTGAATGTATGAAAAAGTGAATGGTAAGACCCTCCACTGAACAAGTTCCTGTGTTGACTTCCCCCTTGAAATGTACCATTCAGAAGATTAATGTAATACCCTAGGTACCATCTAATCAGTTTAGAGAGGGACTCTCACATCCTTTTGTTTTCGGTGCTATATATACTTTTAGTCAAGCAGATGAAGATCACTCTTGCTTTGAATCTGAGAGGGGGAAGGGCAAAGCCATGATATTATACCATTTCATGGTGAGGTTGTTTGTTTTTTTTGTTTTTTGTTTTTGGGGTTTTTTTTTTTTTTGGTCCAAACATTTTTTTCACACATGCTACAAATAATACCGCTATCTCGCACTTGTTTTGTCCTTGGGGGGGGGGGGGGGGTGTTCCAAGGAAAGGGGTTTATATGTATCCTTATTAAATTTCAGTGTGTGAGTTTTAGCTTCTCAATGTGGGTTGCTATCACTGGTCCTTTATTTTTTTTAATTGAGAGAGAGACAGAGCACGTGCATGCGAGCAGAGGAGAAGGGCTGAGGGAGAAAGAGAAAATCTTAAACAGACTCCATGATCCATGCAGAACCTGACATGGGGCTCGATCCCATGACCCTGGGATCGTGACCTGAGCTGAAATCAAGAGTCAGTCAACTCACTGAGCTCCCCAGGCATCCCTAACCCTGGTTCTTTAATGAAGCAAGCATTCATTCAGCAACTGCTGCCCACTGGATGAGGAACTGGGAAGACAGAGACACGAGACCTGCTGCCTGCACAGAGACACTTGCACGGCAGGCACAACAAGAGACTGACAAATACATGCAGCTCTTTTGGGACTAGAAAGGAGGGGCTACTGAATGCAGATTTGGGATGGGTTACCACAGAAGCCTTCGCAAAAGAGCTTATATTTTGGGATCCTGTTTCTGACAGAAAATATATTCACTATACCTCCTTGTTTTGTGTCAGCTGTGGATTTGAGAAGCATTATTTGTTTTATATATAAATGTTTTTTTTTTCTCCATACAAGTGACTGTAAAATGTCATGAAAGACAAGATGGAGGACAGAGCTCTATGGCAGCTT